CTGACATCGGAGCAGGAAGTGAGTCACACCAGGATTTGATGCACCCTTTGCAATTAGGTCACTGACCTTGTAGTCAGTGTCTCGGGCATTAGGATATTTAATCATGACTTCATTTCTACAGAAGCAGCTTTTGCCATTCTTGTTCATACAGTCTGTTTTGCTTCGTGGGCAGCCCTGATGATTTTTATGAAGCTACTCAAAGGAAAAGGTACCAGATGGCAAAAGTCAGGGTGGTAGAAATCATCCAGTTATTACATGTACAGGTACTCCCTGTGGTAGACAAGAGAACTACCTATATGTGTCACAGATTTTGTCATCAGTGTGACAAAAAACATTAAAATGTAAAATCTGGAATTAAATATTTTGAGTTTCATAAAATGTTTTTTCAGTATCTACTAAAGAATTTTTTTCACAGAGTTTCAGTGTTTTTGGGTTTATGACATTTCAAGGTTTAAAAAGTCACATGAAATGGAATTATGGCTGCTGCATAACTTTCTACATAAATTTTCTTGAAAGTGCAGTTTGTTTCCTTTAAAATTTTCTAATCTGTAATCAGTAAAACTGAATTTTTTCCATTCTAGGTATCAGCAAAACTTTCAGATATTTCTAAATGACACTAGAAGGAAATGTTGGGGAGATTTCCCCACAATAAGTTATTCTAGAAAACAGTATATCAAAAGGCTCTGATTGCTCAGGGCTTCAAATCAAGACAGTGGGATTTCTTGGGGAGGGGTAGTGACACTGGTATCACATTGAAATATGTTTCTCTTGGGCCAGTTCCCCAGGACAGCCTTTTTACTGTCTTGGCAATGACATTATTTTTTCTCTTTGTGTACTGCTTTATGTAATTTATCACAATGTCTTTTACCTTTCAAACCAAAACTGTGACCAGAAACAGATACACAGCACTGGAAAGGAGCTGTGGGAGGGTTTCAGTGCCCTGGCCCTTCCAAAAAGCTACCCCACTGTTACAAACAACTTTGATCCATTTCCCCAGCACTGCCTATCTTCTACAGTGGAAGAGACAGAATCTTATCGCAAAATTATCACAGGATTATCATATTATTAGTATTAGTTATTAGTAGTATTAATCATATATAACAGTATATTATTCGTACTATTTCAATTAAGGTATGTAAAAGTACACTTCTGAAGTCCTGACACCATTTTGCTTACTTTCCATGTGAGATCAAGAGTGAGCAGGAGAAATCTCACCACAACCAGATTTTTTTTTTTTTTAAATTGCAACTTGAAAACACTAATCTGGTTGTGCTTTTATTCCTGATTGTTCTAAAACCTGACTGAACATGATTCATGATCAATTGGCTGCCTGTGGATGACTTCCTTGGTTATTCTCCAAATACAGGAAAACACCTGTATTATACTTGGGCGAAGAGTTTTACACCCAGCTACCGATTACGTTTTCCTCAGGTGTGGGTGATCTGAGGTTTTTCTTGGGTGACTGTTCAATGCACAGTGAAAATATGGCACCTTGATAAATGACACAGCACATCAAAAAAAACCCAAAAAAAACTCAAGCCATGCCACGCAAAATCATGAGACACTTACAGAAATCCTGGCCTCAAGTTCCAAAGCTGTTTCAAATTACCATGTTATTCCAGCACAGGGGAGGAAAGGTTGGAGACGTAAGGAGTGGGGCATTTTTTTCCAGGGAAAAATCTGTAACCTGCCATAGACCAGGGTAAGCCTGTGTGTGACACGTCCCCCGTCTGACACCCTTCAAACCAGGCATCCCGAATCTCTGCCCCCCAGCACTCCTGGCATGTCCTAAATGACCTTATGACTTAGCGGGTCTCAATTAGAAGTAAAAGAGAGATGTAGCTGTAATGTAGGTCCTGAGTAGCCAGAGCAATGAAGAGTCATCTACAGGGCAAATCCACAGATGTGTACCAATGTTCCCCATGCCAGTGTTTCAACTTCCTTTTTAAAACATGAATGAAGAAATGAATGCACTGGCCAAAAGGACTTTAGCTCCATCTGTCTTTCCCAGCCAGTTATTAACCCAGTGGCTGGTCTGTGGTCCCAGTCATTTAGCTGGAGAAATGGGCACACCATCACAGGAGTGGCCGCAGCCACCCCAGCTTTACCTTTCCCACAGGACTGAGTTGGTCTCCACCTCGTTGAGCTCTACCCCAAACTGGGGTTGCAATTTGGAACAAGAGACAGGAGGATTGGGCAAGGCAATTCGAGGGAGGGGAGAGGGATTGCAACAGGGAGACAGATTAGGGGCAGAAGCCCTGGGTTTGCCAAGAGGGACATAAGAAGCAGGAGGATGGGAAAGGGAGAGGTTCAACCCATGTAACAAACCAAGGCATTAACTGGAGATGAGAGGATGCAGTTTTTTAGGTCTGCCCATGCTGGCCCCTTTGGAGAGGGAAAATGGGATGATTATGTTGTTAAAAGAGCGTGTAATAGGCAGTATGCATAAAGGACTCAAAGTACATGTATGTGAGCATGTATCACACACAAAATAATCTTCAGAAAATTAATACCAAAATGTATCTTGTGTCTCCACAAAAGTGTGTGGTGTATATTAGATCAATTTTACTGGCTCTGAGAACTCAAAATGTAAGTCAGCAAAAGCTACAAATGTGTGGCAATTCTATTGGCTTGTAACATGCATGTACGCTTACATTGATTTTCAGAACACACATGTAGCAGCATACTAAAGGCATTTTAAAGAAGCCAGATCATTCCTTCTGCTTTTTACAACAAATATTTAGAAATTACTAAAGTAAAACTAAAAATAAGTGATAGAAAGGATGTGAGCATATACTTTTTTTTCTTGTTTTGTTCTTCTGGGAGCTTCTGATGCTGAAATTTTGACAGGACTTTCTGCTCTCTGGTCATTTGTGCTTAGAGACACAGGCAACTTCAACTTGGTTTTCTGTCATCCTTGCTCCAGTAAGAGTCTTGTAGCTCACTTCTAACATCAATCACTTGGACTATAAATCTCTGTAGTGGAGATGGCCACTTAAATCTCCACCTGCACAAACAACAATCAGGCCTAGAAAATAAGGACGCTCATAAATCTCCATGTGGGTGATTAGTAATATTTTGGACCTGCAACAAGGATGTGATAAAAGAAAAAAAGAAAAAAAAAGCAAAGCTAATTCATTAATTAGGACTGATATGCTGACAATCTGTTTAGTTTATGCATAGAGAAAACACAAACAGGGCACAGTTAACATAACATGACGTTAGAAGTTAGTGAATTCCCAAGAGTCCAGGGCTTGGAGATATGATATCTTAATTGTACTTATCCTATTATGAGTGGGAAGGTGTTATCTTCCAGCCAAACAGTAAAGAGCGGGTTTAAAGTTTAGATCTGCCCTTTTTCTTCTGGTTTACGTGAGCCAAGGAATCAAGATGGATCAAGAGATAAGAAGGACTTCCTTACTAGTTATCAAAAGTAACACTCTGCCTCCTGCTGAAACTTCAATCTTCAGACAGTACATAGAACTTGGCAGACATACCAGTTTGGCCCTCCACAGTTTTTGTTTGTTTGGTGGGTTTTGTTTAGCGCATGCAGAAAACCTGATGTGATGCTCACACAGAGCAGCAAGAGATTTTTCTGTGGCTCCAGTGACTTTGGATTAACTTCAAAGCCACTGCGTGCCATGGCGACATCTCAGGCTGTACATGTTTGCCCAGAGCTATGTGAATCCTCAGGTAAGGGGCTGAGTAAGTGGAGTTGCTCCCACAATCAGATCAGTCAGTGTCCAGAAAGGTCTCATGTGCAGATCCTGCTCAGTTCTTTAGTCCCCCGTGTTCAAAACCCAGGCTGCTGGGGGACTTGTGAGGTTTCAGGAAGCGTGTAAGGAGGGAAGGAGCTATGGGAGCAAGTTCCCGCTCCACTGGCCTCTTTGGGCTCCACATGTGGGTTTAGGAGCAGATTTTACATGGAGAGGACGAAGAGCTAAGCCAAAGTTAACTGCTTTTAAAAGCCTGCTCTGCAGAGACGGAATACACACGTGCATAAAGATCGTAACTGCAGTGTATGTCTGCTCATTCAACGACCTACAAAGCAACCCACCACTCATTCACACCAGCGGTAAAACGACTGGGAAGGTTTGGCTTCAGTGGTTGCAGAGGACGGCCTAATGCCCTCACCGCTCCCACAGCGGGGGCCTTGCCTTGCCTCTTTACTCAGGCAAAACTCCCTGACTTTTGAGCCTGCACGCACCAGCAGACAAAACGCTCCACGGGTACAAGCAGAACGAACCACCACCGTCCGCTCTGCAGCAACACGCCGAGAAACGGGATTTTCTTCCTGTGCGATCCCTTCCATCCGATAACCCCCCCTCGCCTTTTCCTTCACGTCAGCGCACACCCTGGGCACCCCACCCGCAGCCGCGCTGAGCCTCCCCGGCGGCGTGGTGCTCTCCCTCAGCTCGGCGGGGCTCCACGGACCGCCGGGATCTCGGCCGCCCCGCACACCTGCGGGCTGGGCAGCCTCCGGGACGCTTACAGCCGGGGGGGGCTCTGAGAGTGAGAGGGGAGCGGGACTCAGGCGGAGGTCACCCAGGAAGGCTGGAAGAAGTCAGATCCTCCTGCCTCCAGCCCCTGGGCTGCGACGGCGAGGTCCACGCTGCCGGCCAGGCGGCGGAGCGCTCCCTTCCTGGAATACACTAGTAGCTGGACAGGATGCGTTCACAAATATAATCATCCACAAATCTCCCCCAGATTAGGTTACAGGACAGCGTTTCGACGGCACGCATTACAAAGCTCCCTGGAAGGCTTGGCTGGTGGATCTGCTGCTCTCTCTGCTCATGACCCATTTTGGCTTTCATCAGGAATCATGACACCAGCTGCCTGGGTCATCTAGGAGGCAGGGAGGGGGAGAGCAACCCGGGGCTGGAAAGGGAAGTGGGGAAGGAGAAGAGGAGAAGGAGGAGGAGGAGGAAGGGGGAGGATAGAAAGACAGAGCAGGAGGAGAGAGAGAGAGAGTTGCTTTGCTCCAGTTGCGAAGATTTGAATCCCAGTTCGGAACTCTCGGCAAGGGCTTGCCGGGATACCTCATTCCCTGTCCTGTGCAAAGGTCTGTGATTGGGGATGTGGTGTGCTCAGCGGGCAGGGCCCCTCCCCTGGGCTGGATCCGCCTCTCCTATCCCCCAGATAAATTACTAGTGTCCTCACTAAATTCCTCAGCTTTCTCTCCCTCTCTCTCTCTCCCTCTCTCACACACGCTCACTCCCTCCCTCCAACACGGGCAAAGCGGGCTTGGGAGGCGGGAGGGCAGGGATTCTCTCTGGACTGGTATCACGCCTTAGTGCCGGGGGGAGGAGGGAAGGAGAGGAAAATACTGGCGCCCCTTCTCTCCTCTGCCGCCTTGAAGTAGATCTGAGGAGCTGCCCTTCCTCCCCCCCCCTCCCCCCTTCCCACTGGTCCTTTGGCATCTTCCAGACCATGTCCACTGGGTCCCTCAGTGATGTGGAAGATCTGCAGGAGGTGGAGATGCTGGAGTGCGATGGCCTGAAAATGGATACTAACAAAGAGTTTGGGGCGTCCACTGAGAGCAACGAGGAGGGATCCAATGGCGAGAATGGCTCCCCTCAGAAGGGGAGAGGGGCCTCGGGCAAGAGGAAAAAAGCTCCCCCCAAGAAGAGCCCTTTAAATGGAGTGAGCCAGGAGGGAAAGCAGGTCCAGAGAAACGCTGCCAACGCCAGGGAGAGGGCGAGGATGAGGGTCCTTAGCAAAGCCTTCTCCAGGCTTAAGACCACCCTGCCCTGGGTGCCCCCAGACACCAAGCTTTCCAAACTGGACACCTTGAGGTTGGCCTCCAGCTACATCGCTCACCTGAGGCAGATCCTGGCCAATGACAAGTACGAAAACGGCTACATCCACCCAGTCAACCTGGTAAGTCACAGCCCGCCGGGGCCAGGCACTCTGTGTGCATGTGCGTGGGGAGAGGCGGGTGAGGAGCTGGAACTGGGGCATGTGTGGGGAGAAACCTTCGCTCTGCTTCTCACCGCCAGTCTGGTGCCAATGGGGTGGCAAGGGGTACTGGGTGAGGGGACAGGCTCCCAGCTGCCCTCCCGCCCCGTGCCCCGAGGGCCGAGCCTCCCCAGGCCCCAGCCTGGCAGCCCCCTCCAGGAGACAGGCGGGGGACACGCTGGCAGCAGAGAGGCAGGGACAGGCTTTCCTGCCCCAGGAATGCCTGAGAAACATCAGCAGGTTGATGGCAGCTTTCTACCTGCAAGCGGGTGGGTACAGAAATTTGGGTAGAGAAAGGTATGTTTTAGGAAGGACCCAAGCCGAGGACCCAGGATTTATTCTTATCTGTTCTCTCTATCCTAACATCTCCTGCCATAATAATCCCCAAACCCTAGCTTTTAAAAGACTCTGCGCTCAGCCGCTCAGGTTTGCTGGGTCCAGAATGTTTCTCCTAGCCATATAAACTGGTAAATAAGAAACAAATACCTGCATGGACTCCCCGGGGGAGGGGTGGGGGTCTGCCCCAGGCACACTCCGCAAAGCCTGCCTGGGCTGTGTGGTGTCCCTCCTGCTGCTCCCACCACCCACAGAAAGTTTTCCCCAGCAGCCCTGGGTCCCCCCCCCATACCCGGCTGCCAGCAACATCCAGTTTCCATCTCTAAAAATACGTGCAACTGATGCAAAGCGGGGGTGGGCAAGATCTGCCTGGGCTCCTTTTAGACATACAGCCTTTACATTGCCCACACGTGTGGACCCCACGGGATAAAGGGATCACAGAAGGGATCTGGGGATGTTTTACAGAGCTCTGGACTCTGTGGGAAAGCAAGTACATCAGCCGCTGTGTCAGCTGATAAGGGCCTGGGTATTCTTTTGGCTAAAACCAAAATTCTCAGCACAACAACAAGGGGAAAAGAAATAAAGTAAAACAAAACCAACACCCAACCCAGATATAACACACACGCACAGCCCCGCACAGAGGCACACCAAAACTTGCCCCCCGAGCCACGGGAGGCCAGGGAGGGCGGCCGGGGGCTCCTGCGCCCGGGCAGCGCGGAGGCGGCGGCGGGGCGTGAGGCGGGTTCCGCGGGGAAGAGCCCCCACGCGGGTCACGACCGAAGGCGGGGGGCGGCGCGGCTGCGGCGGGGTGCCCGCGGCGGGGGGACGCGGCGGGGCCGGATCCGGCGCGGCTCCCTCCCCCTCCCCTCCCCGCTCCCTCCCGCCGCCGGTCCGTGGGCGCCCGTGGGGAGCCCGCAGCGGTTGGGGGGGGGGGGGGGGGGGGGGGGCGAAGCGGCACCGGCCGCCGGCGAAAGGGGCCTCGCCGAAGCCGGCGGCGACCACCCCGGCCCGAGCCCCGCTGGGCGCTGCCAGCAGCGGGCTCGGGCGGCGGGCGGCGGGCTCCGTCCCCCGCGGCGCTCCCGGGCCGCAGCCGCTGGCGAAATAAGCGTTGCGATGTGCTTTTTTTTTTATTATTTTTTTTTTAATTTTTTTTTTCCCTCCCGTATATAACCCCCCTTCCCACCCGTGTCTTTTCCTGGCTCCAGACTTGGCCTTTTATGGTAGCCGGCAAACCCGAGAGTGACCTGAAAGAAGTGGTGAGCACAAACCGCTTGTGCGGCCCGACGGCATCCTGAGCCCCGGCGGCCCGGCCAGCGGCGTCCCGGGGCGGGCGGGAGCGGGGAGCGGGCGGCGGGGCGGGCAGGGACCGGCCGCGGCCCCGGGCCGAGCCACGGGCAGGGCCGCTCGCCCGGCGCCGAGGAGACCAAACGTGCCCTAGCAGAGACTCCACCCCGAGAGATCCCGACTCTATTTAACTTTATTAAATGCGTGTACAGTCGAGTGTCCTGCAACAACAGCCTTGCTGGTTCAAGCGCTACTAGAGAAAAGACAGAGATCAAACAAAACCTACCACGCGCGTATCTTTTGTCTGAGACCTGTGAAATATGTAGATGCCTAGAAAAACTGACTTTGACAGTCATCTCTATGAAGTAATTCACCCTAAAAGATATATAGATATATTTTCTCCAAGCAGGTTTTGCTCTATTTCTGTGAATAAACCTTCCTTTCCACTGAACACGGAACGCTGTAATCTTCGTTTCCGACCCTCGGGCTCGCCGGGGGAAGGACCGCGCCTCCGCCCTGGCCCACGGGAGGGCCGTTCCGCGGAGTTACAGATTTAGGGCCAATCCCTGGGGAGGTTGCGGGGGGGTGGGGGGTGGGGGTGGCAGGGCCAGGACCTGTCCCCGCCGCGGGGGCCAGAGCCGCTCCGCGGGGACGGGAGCAGTTTGCTCTTGATGAAGTACAGTCGGACGGAGGATCCCCCTCTGGCCCCGGCCCCCGGTGCTGGGAATTTTTAACTTAAACATCTTCCCTCTATCGATCAGCGCGCCCGTGGGAGAGGAGGCCGAGGTAAACAGGGGTGCGGGGCGCTCCCCCTGCGCCGGCAGCTGATGCGCCAGATCCCACCGCGCTGTTTAATGTTTCGGGGTTGTGACCGCACTGTTTACAAGACGTCTTCGGTTATTTATACTGTTATTATTAGCAGAGGGGCTTTAAATTTCCGCCGCTTCGCTTGCTCTTTCAATACTGTCCCCCGGTGCCGTCTGATACCTGGCTACTTGGCTGGAGGAAAGCGGGAGTGGGGCAGCGCCCTGCCAGGGGGCAGCGGGGGCTGCCCCCCCCGCCCAAACCCTCCGCCCCGGCCGGGTTGCGGGGGGCGGGCCAGGCCACGGTCCGTGTCAGCGTGGGGCCCACGGAGCCTCCCGGGCGCTGCCCGCCCCGGGCAGCCCCGCAGACCGGGTTATGTTTTTTTCTCATCCCCCCCCCCCACACACACACAGCCCCCGAGGTAACCGGCTGAGGTGGCGCGTCCTCCGGGCGACCCAAATTCACCAGTCGGGTGCGTGCGTGGGCTAGGTTTAATTAAAGCAGCTCGCTGTGAGCCGCGGGCTGTGCAAACGTCTCGGAAAGGGCCGGGCCCTGCTATATCGACCTAACGGCTTCGAAGGGGCGAGCTGTTTAACTCCACTTTTTAACTTCGCTTTTTCACGGCGTTATCTCCCTCTCGCGCGGTCAAAAGCAGATCTCCGCGCCTGGCCTGACCCCGCTCGGCCTCGCCGCGTCGTGCGTGGGGCTGCGCCTGTGGCGACCCGCAGTGCCGGTCCCGCCCCACGCCTCGCCCAGAGAGAGCTCCCACCGAAGAGGGGGGCAGCACCGGGGAGCGGAGCTTCTCCCGGGCACCGGGGCGTGCCATGGGGCTGGCTGCTTTCTTGAAGGGAGGGAGACTAGAGCCCTCCGACCCCACGCTGCGTGCACATGGCTGAGGCAGCGAAGGCACACATACCTTTGTAACCACTGAACTGTAATTAACAGTTTGATTTATCCACTCAAAATCTCGATTTAAATCTATACTAACTAATGCCTGCTTGGGACTCTGAGCAAGGTGCTGTTTTCCTTCCAGAAAGCAGAAATTGATAGGCGTCTGAGATATGCATAAAATTCAGAGTTAAATTGGGAATATTCTCACCCGGCTCCTTTGCCGCCTTGCTTTGCAGTGCTTACTAACTGCACTCAGCATCCCTCCCACCCGTCTGAGTTAGCCAGGATCAGTGTTCCTGAAACACAGCATGGACAAAGAGAGGGGAGAAATGCATTAGTTCCCCGTGAAATTTGAGGAATACAGCCGTAACCATGTGCCAAAAGCTGCAGTGGAAGTGGAACGGTAAGAGGAGGCTGCAGACAGTTATTTCTCGTGCTGTTATTGCTATTCGCTTTATCTGTCAGTCTCAGCTGCAAGCCCCTAAACTATCTCTCAAGCATCCTCCACCTTCCTCCGTCCTTGCCTTTGAGCAACAGTTCAGCAACAAACCGAAAGGCAAAAAGCAACAGGCAATAAACAAAATCAACCAGCAGTACACAGAAAGGTAAATAACGGCTTTACTCTGTAAAACAATGGGCGACTTTATCTCCATTTTGAAGACAACATATTTTCCAGAGGCATTTGCGTGGCTGGGAACCCTTGGTCCACTGGTTTCTTGTGTAAGGGCACAGCCCCGGCAGTATTGGCAGTTGGCTTCAACAGCCCAAGTTTCTTAGATGAATTAAGAGTCGAACCATGTATCTCAGGAGAACAATGAGTGAAATCATTCTTCCGCGCTGCTGAGTGCAATTTTACATAAAAATATTTGCAAACAGAAAATGTATGTTTAGTCTGACTGAGTCAATTTATGATTTTGCAAGGAACTTGCAAATGTGCTAAGGGAAAACGGAACCCGTTTAAATATTGATGTCAGTGATTTTAAAGAAAATATTTTGTTTGCTTTCTTGCTTTTCTGTACAAAGAGATGCATTTTAATATTTATCGAAATATACCCTTTCTCCATGTGGAAACAAAGCTGACTTGATTTATCTTTCTGTATCTACATGGATGTAGATGCAGCTGCGTGAGTGTCTGTATATACTCCCCCCTAATAATGTCTGAACTCATTGCCTGATTTCAACTGAATTTGACAGAGGTCTCAAAGATAACTAAATTGCTTTTTTTTTTTTTTTTTTTTTTTTTTTGGTGAAAACAGGCAGCTGAGTAGAGAAAAGAAAAAAACTTTAAATTCTGCAGCTAAAGGAAAGGTTTCAACATGAACTCAGCCCTTATCAGAGATACCAGAGCACACAGAGCAGAGTGCCAGCTGTACATGAAGCTTCAAACACTGCTTCAATCACAGGATACAAGTTCATAGAAAACATGCTATTGACCTACGTATTTTAAGATAAGAACTCTCTAAAAATAGTTTAGTCCCATCTGATTTTAATACTATTCTTTTTTTTTTTTTTTTTTTTTTTCTCGAAGGAAACCCAGTTCCACCCAACTACTTTACGATCATTTTTCAGTTCAGCTAGAGACTAGAAAAGACCTTGATTTCCAGAGCTGTGCTCAGTGCGCCAGCTCCTGGGTTTGGTGCCCATGCCGTAGTGCTGCACCGCAGTTTGCACAGTCCGGAAGGGCTTTAGAAGCAAGCATTTTTCCATCCCTTATAGAAAAGACAATTTTGACTTACCTTATCCTCTCACTGGGATGGAAATCTGCCAGCCCGAAACATCAGCATAGCAAGAAAGCCACTTTGCAGACACCTGCACAATGCCTTGCTGTCCTGGGCGCTGACAGGGGCAGCGAGGCCACGGTGATGGTCATGCCCCCAAGCTGCAAAGTGCACAAGGAGAACACACACTAGACAGCTTATTCTTTAAAGTGCCTCCAAAGTCGAAATTCCCAGCTCACCTTGGAGATTAAAAGACATAGAAAAATCTGTGTGGTTTCTTCGGTAGGGAAGCTGGTTTGAATCCCAGATATAGTGACAGGATCAGAAGCCCAGGTTGGTTTGAAGCATTTGTATTGGTAACCCCACAGCTGTGTCTGCCCGGAAAGACATGCTTCCTTGTAAATTCATCACATATTTTTTTCAAAAGGTAATCTCTCCTGAAACCCCATTCTCATTCATTATTATTTGTACTTAAAAAAAAAAAAAATGCAAAAGGCATTGGCTAATTGCAGATAATAAGCTGTCTAAAAGAGAACACAAGTCACATATATCCGGTTTACGAGTGAAGGGTATAATTTGATAAAAGTGCAGGGTATTTATAATTTCTGTCTGGATATCTGAATGTAGATTATCACTCATAGTCTTCCAAAAGTGACAGATTTTCAAAAGAATTTTCAATTACATTGAAATGAAATTCAATTTAAATGACATAGAAATTTGTGGCAGCAAACAACAGAGCATTCTGTAATTTCCACGTATATACACACACCTAGAAAAACCTCCATACAGAATTTTTCTCAACAGCCAGCAATTCAAATTGTCCATGTCCGTTGCTGGCCCATGTAGCACTGACTATTCCTGTATTAAGGCTGCACTACTAAATGCAGGCCTACAGGGCAAATACAAGTTTGTGCTCACTGTTCAGCCGTGGATTGCTTCATGCTCTTCAGCCCAGCGTGCTCTATGGATGGAAAGCGGCACATCCAGTAATAATGGCTTTTTTTGTCTCTAGTGCTGCAAAGCTACTGCTGTGTTACAACTTGGTTAAATTTCTGCAACCCTGAGAAATGTCATAGGTCTGACCTAAAACTTAGGATCCAGGAGAGATGGGGAAAAGACGTGTTGCCTTTGTGAGGACTGCTGCTGGCAGACTCCAAACCCAGCAAAGTTCTGCAAGTAACTGGTTTTAATTCAGTTCACTGCAGACACTGGTGTATCTGAGCTAGCTGTATAAAAACAATTTTGAGTAGGCCTAGGCATGAAGTCATCACATTTCCCAAATGCGGCGTGGACATACCCTAGGGTCACAACGATCATGAGATGACGCATTTTCTTGCCTTAGGGTTTTGCCCTTAAACTGAAACTTGTAAACAGATGAAATACGTTTTCAAGCCGATGCGCATGCGTGTACACAGCTACACTGTCCTCGCATGGGGAGTGGAGAGATCCAAACCTCCTTGCAAGGATAAAAAAAAAAGGATCATAACAAAAGCAAGAGAATAAAAAACAATGCAAATCCTTCCTTCACTTTAAATTCTAAGAGCCCATCTTTCTTAAGCAAGGACAAAAACACCAGCCCTTATTTACATCTCAGGCTGCTCATGTGTAAACTATAAGACCATACCCGACTGTAAATACGGATTACCTACACATTCAAATTTTCTCTCGGTTGTTTACATGCTGTTTAAGAAATGGGGACCAGAAACACTAGGGGAAAAAGGGAAGGGTACAGCTACACAGCCAGAAGACAAAAGGAAAGGGGGGAAAAGGCATAGAATAATTCCTCCTTCTCTGGTTACTACTGCTCAGCCCTCGTGAGAGGATGGGCTGGGGAAGGGACGAACTATCAGCAGCTCCATCACGGCCGGGTGGAGCCAGACCACCGGGGAGATGGAAACCGGGAGGTTGAGAGCTGCAGCTGCCTCCTCTGGGAGGAACATCTGCGAAAAGCTGCACAGCAGCAGCAGGGGAGGAGGAGCGGGCACAGGCAGCGAGCGTTCCCAGGGATGCGCTCACACGGAGAGCTGTCCCACTGGATGGCTTCCCAGGCTGCTGCGGCCGCGGCACTTCCCTCCCCCGGCAGGGACGGGGCGAGGACCATCGTGTGCGACAAGCAGCCCAAGCGTCGGGGCGGCCTCTTTGCTTCAGCATCCTGTTCCGTGTTTTTTGATGGCCCAGCTGACCAGAATGGGAACAGCTCTTCCTCACTGATAACGTGTTTTGTTCTTCCATAAGGACTTGTATACCGCTGGCACCTCAGAGTCAATGCAGAAATTAAACAGAAGACGGCAGTTACCTTGAAGGATTTGCGGTCACCTCATGACCAAATGTTTTATTATAGGAGGTTGCTATCATTACGCAGATGGGAAGAGAAGGAGGCGCAGAGCTGACAGCTGCCTGGCTGAAGGGTCACACGTAAGCTTGGTGTAGGCTTAGGGCACCAACTCTTCTGGTGCACAAACCTATGGGCTGTTCTCTTAGGCACGCTGAAATTGCCAGGGATCTCTGCTCTTTGAATTCAGCATAAAGTTAGGAATGAGAAGGGTGCAGGGAAGGATCCTCTCTCTCCGGCTGTATATCTCTATCTGCACTTGCTAGTGTATAGATAAAACTCTGTCTCCGACAGCCAGTGCTGTGGCCGGGGCCGCATCCACACATACCTGTGCTTTATTCCACTCTCACCAAAGGGTAAGAACAGTCCCTGGTACACGCTATTCCCAAACTGTGCTTGGGCATTTTCAGGGAGAAAAGTTCATCAGACAGGCCAAAGGCATGTGGACAACCCTGCTAACAACCAAGCACTACAAAAAAAATAAGCCTTGGCCATGTTTTAATTATGTGTCACTGCAGCCTTAGAAGCTGGGGCGATAAAGGTACTTGATGCCTTTGTCTCACCCCAGCCTTCTGCTCTTCTCACGTGTTTTCTAGATCAACCTGCTATCTTCTTTTATGGGCCAAAAATTCTTAGTGGGGATCCTCTTTGCTATTTGTATCTTGTAATATATTAAGACTAGAGATCACTAGAAGAGGCCAAGTTCACTAACAAACATAACATGAGAATTAAACATTACATCCTAAATTACGACACTGAAAACCCCGGTTCATTTGTTGCCCAACTCTGCTAAGCTCTGCTGTTCCTTTTCTACCTGAGTTCTGAGTCCCCTGATGCCAAAATTTCACATATGCCTCAGAGTATCTCTCGCCATTGCCAAGCAGCTCCATGTTAATAGAATCTTTTTTTTTTTTTTTTTAATATAAATACAAATAAATAAAGTGATATAAAATCAAGAAGAATGTTTGAATGTTGTGGAGCTGGTTGAAGTACCGCTTAGGGCAGGGAGGCAGCAGTTTAACAGAGCTGGCATGAGTTATTGTACCATACATCATCAGAAAAGTGTGAGAAGACACATTTGAGTTCACAGTTTCACCTGATAAACTAAGCCCTGGAGCGAAGGGTTCCCTCCATGACTGGTCTCCTGCCACAGGTTTAAGTTCATTCCCTGCTGGCTGCCAGCTTGAGAGATGTCTCATGATTAACCTGCAGTATCATATGCATGTAGCTGACGACCATCCCACAAAATGCCATTTCTACAGAATGTGAGAGACACAGGTTACTCCTAGGTACCCTCCTTGAACACAAATACTTCAATACAGTCTTCTGCACAGACCCTGCAGCACTTAAGATGCAGCTGCATAAAACTCTTCATCTAGCCTTCACTGTGGGCTGCCTCAAGGGGCCATCCGCCTTCCTTCTCTGCCCCCTGCACTTTCCCACAGTCCACCTTGCACTGGATCTTACCCAGCTGAAAATGAATCCTGTAAAAATGGAGAAATACAGGTAACCAAGCATTTCCTTCAGTTTGAGGAGTGATTTTTTGACAGAAACCTGCAGTTACGAGCTGAGTAACATCATGAAATTACATCTTTGTTCACTCTCACTGATGTAAGTACAGAACAAAAATATGTGCAGTGTCCTAAAGTTCGGATGTCCCTATTTTTACTGCACTAATACCGATGGTCCCATGCAGCCCACAGTTCCACTCTGAAGAATGTCCAAGGACAGAAAACAGCCTCCCCACACCTCCATCTCCTCTCTACTTCCCAAACAATGGCTTGAGAAACAAAGGCATAGGGAAATGAAATCACATCGTGAGGAAGCAAGTGTCAGAAATGGCCTCCGTGCCTCCTGTTTGATGTCAGTACAGCATCTGGTAAGTTAGAACAAGCGACAGCAAGAGGCAGATGAGGACACGGTTCCTGCAGGTGGGAAATCCTTAGCATCTCAGTCACACGAGGGGAGGAAGCCACGGAGACAAGTTAGAGTTGCACGGAGGGATGGAGACCAGGAGGAGGAGAACATCGGGACAGGATAACCAGTTTTGTGACTGTGTAGGTGTGGAATAAAATTCAGGCACAACTGATAAACTTACATGTCAAATTAGGTAGGTGCTCAGTCGCCTCGTTTGCAGTCTGTGTTAATGTGATCATAACTACTTGCATACATTTGCACATTTTGCAAATATAAAGATGCAATCTTCAGAACATGTCCTAGTCAAAACGGGAAAAGCTCAGGCTGACAAAGCAGCCAAAACTTTTAAATGGTAAGGGTTCATCTCTTCATCAGTAAAAGTTTTCTTAATGTCCAGTGATGAGTGCACATTTCTGTGGACCACTTGCTAGAAGAAGTTATATCCTGAAAAGAGCAAGCATGTGGAGACAGACAATGGATGTGTATTTGCTAGAAGGTATTTTGTGTCAAATTCATGTAGACCTTTATGAGCATGCTCAGAAACAAGAAGCTTGGTTAAAAGTCAAGCAAAATCAAGGTTTTCTTCATAACTTGCTGCATCATAACTAATTCAGGAAAATAAATAAAAAATCAGCATCAGTTGTGATACAGCTATATAGAACCTTGAAGACATCATAACAGTCTACCCCATGTTAGCAGTGTTAATTATAATGACTTTAGGCTGCAGCCCATCCAGAATTAAAACAGCCCTAAGGTACTCCATAAAAATGCTGGCGATCCCGTGCAGTGACTGAACTGTGGTTGCTCTAAATTCAGAACCCCCGTTCCCAGGCGCTCGCGGAGCGCCCGCGGTACCCAGCGGCGGTGGGTGCGTTTCTGCAGGCAGGCGCAGGGTGGCAGCGCTGCCGCACGCCGCCGGGGAAGCAAACCCGGCACTTAACGAGCAAGAGCGTCCCTAATGTGCTGGCAGCTGATGTGAAGAGGGAGTCTGAAATAATTATTCTTGACAAGTGAACCTAGTAATGCATTTCATGGATTAAATTGAACCTAGCAGAGGAAAGCATCCCGACTCGGAAGGCTTCAACATTTAAATTTCATACTGTTTCCTCTATCCTAATTGAAGCTATTCTGATCTCACTTCACACACGGAAAGTACATGACAAAACCTCAGTTTCATAAGATTGTTAATACAGCGAATACTCTGCACTACACACATATAAATTTTATATATATACACACATATATATTTACACACATACTTTTCATATAGAGACAGATGTGTCTTTACAGACCTAAAATTGACCTGAACAACTTTATTTCATTCTTCAGCCTGGGTGATGGGTCCTTAAGTGGCCACACCGCAGCCACACTCAGTTGGTCTTGGGTCCTGGGTTCCCAAGCGAAGCACAACAGCTCTTCCAAGAGAGAATGTAAGTACAGCTGAAGAACAGTTCATCACAGGCTCTACTCCCTACAGATTGCATAGGTGGGGCAGTGCCGAAGTTGGTGAACTGTCCTGGACAGAGAGAACCAGTGCCATCCCAGCTGTGTCCTCACATCCCCTTCCATCTCTCCTCAAAGTGTGCACCATGCCCGCTTTCCAAGAATTAAACAAGCTGCATATTGGAAGAGCAAAAAGCATCAGTCTTGAGTCATTTTAACATTAAAACCACACAAAACAAAACAAATCAATGCAGAGGGCCACACAGTCCTCATGAGAGTTTGGAGTAGCGGAGGCTTCTCAGTCACCTGCTCCTATCTTTGTTTCACCCGGGCTCAGCACTGCGCTCACACACCGACGCACCACAGTTTACTGCTGCGGACCCTCCCGCTCCGCTGGGCCCGGGGAGCGCGATCCGGGCAAGCCGAGGTGGTCTGAGGGCGAGTGGCCCCACAGCAGCGCCAGCCACACGCCAGGACCGCTCCCACCATCCGACCTGCGGGCCGGGCCGGGCCGGGCCGGGCCCGCCCCAGCCTCACCCCCGGGGAGAGCCGCTCCCTCAGAAGACGCGGCTGCCCACAGCCCTCCCTCCGCCAGCCGCCCGCAAGTCGCGCACCTCGGGCCCGCCGGCAGCAAGCTCGCAAGCAGGGCGGCCCCCAGCCAGCCCACCGCCTGCGCAGCCGGGACAAAAATTAAAAATTCACCAAAAGAGCCACGCCCCCCCCCCGCCCCAGCCCCGGGCGCTGCGCCTCAGGGGGCGGCAGACGAAAGCGGAAGTGCGCTGCTAGCGCGGCCCCTTTCACCCACCCCACCCCCCCACACACGCCTCCCCGCCCCCGCCCTCCCGCCGCCGTGACTTCCGGCGGCCGCTCTAGCCGGCGCCGCGTCTATGCCCGCGGCGCTGGGGGATGTTGGTTGTGGCGGCGGGGAGTCGGCCCAGCACCCGGACCGCCGCCGGGCGCCCGCGGCGGGGCGCCTAGCAACCGGCACCCCGCGCCGCCCCGCCCCGACCGGCCGACCGCCCGCACGGTAACGGCCGCCGCCCGCCGCAGGGCCGCGCTCCTCCCTCTTCCTTCTCGCCGTCGCCTCGGCGGGCCCTGCCCGAGGGGGGGTGGGGAGGGACGGGGACGCGGCCCCGGGGGGCCCCCGTGTGCCCCCGTCCCTTCCCGGCGGGGGTGAGGGGACCGCGGCCCTGTCGGATCCTCCCGCCGCGGTGCCGTGCTCCCCCCCCCCCCCCCACCCGAGCCGCGGGGCGGGCGGGTGGTGCGTGGCCGGGGCGGCCGTGTCGCGAAGGGGAAGGGGGGGGGACAGAGCATCCTCCTCCGGGGGGTAACGGCTTGTTCCCCGACAACCGGCGAGGCTTCCCCAAGGGGCCACCGGCTGCCCCGCGTCCCTGAAATAGCGGGCCCGGCCCCGGGGGCTTTGTAACGGCCGGCGCCGCTCCGGGCCGCGAAACGCCGGCGTAAGGCAGCGCGGCCGAGCGGCGGGGACCGGCGTGGTGGGGCCGCCGCCCGCCTGCGCTTTGTTCCTGCCGTGCTGGCCGGGGGTTTTTGTCAGGGGCTGAAGGGGGGCGGGGGGCGAGGAAATATTATTTGTTAACCCGGGTGTTGTGGCACTGGTACATGTAGGGCTTTGAGTGAGATTCCCAGCTGCGTGAGTAGGAAGAGTGGCTTCTTTTTCCTCAGTCGAGTCGCAGAAATGGTAAACGTTTGACGGGGAGGGCGAGGAGAGGCTTATCCGTTGTGTTAAAGTATTTTGTAACAGCAAAACTGATTTTTTTTTTTTTTATTTTATTATAACGTTTTATCAAGTTGGAATGGCCACCTAACCTGTCAGTTCAGACTTCTTTCATACTTCAGACAATTTTCCCCATGTCATAAAGACCTAAAGGATTGTCCTTAATGCTTATCATTCGACTATTACTGGATCTTATAGGGGAAAGATGGCACAAAATTGAATGTGCGTGAATTGTGCTTTGAATATGAACGGAATTTTTTGATGAGGAAGATTTGAGGAAAATTGCCTGTTTAGAAATATTTAAAAATACGCTTCCTGGTTTTGTTCTATAAACTCATTTGGCTTTATTCCTGCAACCGGATTTGTGTTGGAAGACCCCGGACCCATAGGGATGCAGTATGCTTATCCAAGAGATTAGAGAGCAGGGTTGGGCATTTGTGTCCTACTTGTTTATGATATAGCTGGTACCATCATTCTGTGCGTTAGTCTAATTGGACAAATCCTTACTTTGATACTGTTTTTATGCACATTTGGAAATTTTCTCCTTCTCCAAAATAGATTTATTTCATTCTGTAGGGAATAGTCATGACTGTGCAAATCTTGGAAGGTGAGAATATTGGCTTCAAGATGGCCTTTTGCTTTAGGGGCAATTTAACTTGCCACTAGAGACAACAGAAAGTAAAATCATGCCCCACTGGCTCAGTGGCTGTAACTGAGAAAGTTGTTCAGACCAGAAGATTTTCTATACAGACAGCAGTAGCTATGTTGCTCTCAGTTCTGGCGAGTCGTTCACCTGCCACTGTGACTGTGTCATATCTAAGAATTCAAGCAGATTTCAGAGGTCTGTCACCTCCAGTGTTTTCATATGGACCTGTTTCCTCAGCGGCTGAGCGCAAATCTTAAAAAATGCCCCTTCAGTGGAAGGATGTAATTGGCTTTTCTTGTTCCTGATGGGCTGTATTTTGTGTGTTCGCTGTTCTTACATGGAAACCTCATATGGAGGTCCCTGTTAACTTCTTCAAAAATGCTTTTCAGGCATTAGTTTGACGAATGCCTGCTGGCACAGTAGTGACAGATACCCCTTCAGCTGAGCTGTTGGAACTGTTTGTGGGGTTGGTCAGTTGGTGAACTGCTTTGGAGCAAGGTTAAAAATAGCCAGTAGAAGTTGCTTATACTTAGGCTGCTGGTGAAAAAGGTGTTTATTAAACTGTTCTGACGTTAACGTAACCATTGTTAGATGCCCCCCTCATGTACCTTTATAGCTCTGAGTTTCTTGGATCAAAGGTAGCCAAAAGCTTAAAATAATACTTTGTTTATATACCCCATCCCAACTGCCTTTCCGCCCTCTTTGATGATGATGGTGCGTTTGGTTTGGAACTTTTTGAAGATGGAGAGCACTGGATATTTTTAGATTGTAAGATTTCAGTGCATGGTGTTTGTCTTCATGTGTGTTTATATAGTATCTAAAATAGTATGGCCAGGGTCCTAACTGGGGACGTATGGGTAATGCTTTGTTTAAGAATTTGAGTGCTCGTTCCTTCCTCCAAAGTATTTCTTATTCTGGGAAGTTTCTCTCGTTTCAGTGTAGAATACATTACAGTGTCGAATATCCTTGAGTTAGCTTTTGTTGGGTTTATGTTTGCTCTCATGCTTTACCTGTCTACATTATTTTTTTTTTCTCTCCTTCCTCTTTTTTTTCTTCTTAGGGTAATATTCCAGATGTATCTCCGAAATCTATGTTGAAAAGAAAGAACAAACTTTTAACATTTCCTTGATAAAATAAACTAATACAGACTTCTCTAGAGATGTATTTAAGCTTTTTTTTTCCCCTCTGTCAGGGTCGATTGTGTACACTGGTGCAATAGAACTTGAAATCAGAGTTGGCTAGTTTCTTGTTCTGGAGAAAGCTGAATGAATTACATAATTTAGAAGAAATGCTGCACATGTAGACAAGTACATTGTTTTTTTTTCCAGTTGTAGCCTATTATTAAATTAGCGTTAACTGGCAAAACATAATTTTAGAAATAAGACTTAAGCTGCCAAAATTATCAGGTTCAGATGAGAGAACCTTTAGGCAAAATTAATCAACAAAACCTAAGCAGAGCTCAGTAAAATCAATTTAGGCATTTGCAAATCCAGAACTGGAAAGAGCCAGATGTTTGGTTTCTACTCAGTCCCTCTGTTCTGCAAGTGTAACTGTATAAATATGGAATAGTAACAGGCATGTATGTACGGCTGCTGCTGCTTGATCACAAAATCAAGCAATTTGTAAAAGCACGGGAGCATTATTTTCCCCACTATGCAGATAGGAGACAGAAATGTAGAAATTCAGGTTCTGAGAAAATACATAATGTGCCAAGGCTATGCAGCAGGGATACAGAAGTATGTATCAATAGCACAGAAAACAAGAGAAAACTGGGAAAAAGGAGGATCAGAATGTTGTTTGGGACTCTGTGTTCCAGCTAGTCATGCTACTAGAGGTATGTATAAATAAGAATAACATAGTCTTTCCTTTTTAATTTTTAAAAATTTTTTAAAGAGAACATTGTTCCACCTTTTTTATAAGCATGTTCTTCAGATTTTTTTTTTATATATAGTGTATGTAATATTATTTTTAAAAAAATGTTTAGCTTGCCTCTGTTCACGTGGTTCATGTGAATTTGGATTTCTTTGAGACTTCCCAAAGAAAGGTAGCAGGACATCTTTTCTCTAGATATTTTTTTTTTTCTTTGTTATCAGTACAGTGCGAGACATTAAAATGAACCCTTAAGGCCGAGGTTGTAATAGGTTGTTCTCACTGCTTAGAATTATTCAAGTCTCCAAATGTTTTGGTTTACCCAGTATTTCTAAACCATGCCTTGGAAGAACTTATTTAGTATTTGTATACTAAATGGGAATGGGCGTATTCAGGATTGTTGACACTTAGATTCAGGTTCTCAAAGAACATGGGTAGTGTTTAGCAGCAGCAAATAAAGAGTTTTCTCAATACAAATGAGGAAAACTTGGTAATTAATATTTTAAATATTCAATATTTGAAAAGTTTGACAATTAAATGCTTCTGTTAGATCAAGTAACATTAAAGGATAAAGGCAGTTTTCAGTATTTTTACACTGTATTCAGATACTGCTTCTGTAACAAATTGTGTACCTTTTTAACTGAATGTCAGAAAAAATAGTATAGAATATTATCTACAGCTCAAATTAAATTTCAAATTAAAGAGCTCCTCCCTAAATATCTGTTGTCTTGAACTTTCAGAACATGGCTAGTGAAAATGGGGGCACACTGCTGTAATGTTGTGTAATTTTTCTCCCTTTAAAATCTATGGAAGTAGATTGTGGTTCTAACCAAGACAGCCCATACTTGATGAAAACATCCTTACCGATAGCTCCGCAGCATATTAATGTTCTGTTGTGTTTTTTTTTTTCCTGTAGATCCCCCTTTAATGATAGATCACTTTCTTTTAAACTGTTCATTTCTTCTCTTTCAACCGCTTTTTTCTTTGTTCTGAATAAGTACATGACTTTACTCCCCAGATCCATTTAAGACAGGACATTAGAGTTTTATGGGGACGTTATCATACAGTATTACGGTTTGCTTAGAGGTTAACAACCTTTGAAGGGTGTTATGCATGACGGTGTTATTTTTTCAGAATGTAGTGATTGAGGGTGCTGGTAGAAACTTGCTGATAACTGAGACACTGTTGATTGGAGCTATCTTGTTTTCTTATACAGCAATTGTTCCGGGGTTCAGTAGTGAACTCAGTGAGAGACAGGAGTTGGAGCCAGGGTTGAAAACAAATGCCTCTCTGAAGATGCCACGGGTTCCAGCTCCTTGCTCTGTGCTGGCCCAGCCTGCATGCCATTCAAAATCTGCACATGTGCTATCTTTGGATCTGGTGCCATAAATTGCTAACCCAATCTGTAGTAGTCCATCAAAACCAGATGGGATAAGTCATTTCTGACTTTGAGGATTCATATAATTTTTGGTTAAAAAAAAAAGGATCCGGGAATACTAATTAGTTACTGTTTGTTCTCCTCTTTGCCTGCTTTTCTCCCTACCCCCACACAGCGCCTTTGGTTTTTCTGTTCTTCTCTTGCTGTTTCTTCATCTCTTTTCTGTGTTATCACCTGCCTTGCCTTTTCTTATATTGGACAAGCCAACAATTACAGAATAATTCTTTCAGCTGGGAACAAGCTGCACAGTAGAAGCAGCAACCATCACAGCAATTGACCTAGTACATTGTGCACATCTGCCTTGTAGCTTATTACTTCTGTATTGTTAGTGAGTTGCAGTCAAAGATGTACCTTGAGTGAACTCTCGATTAGAGACTATGGCATGGTGCTTAGGAAGTCCTAGTTAGATGAAAATACTGATAATAACATTAATTTTGTATCTTGAAGATTTTTGATATAGAACATAAGTCTAAAACATTTAAAGGGATAGTAATGCATTACAGGATGTTATGTGCATTGCTGTTCTTGATGCATAGTCTCTTGCTTCTTCCATGGCAATGACCATGTAGAGCATTTCATGTATCTGACTGTTTTTCTTTGATTTTGTTCTTTGCTTTCTGTTGTGTTAATTTTGGATTAAATGCTACCAACATTTTAGATGAATGGATCAAGATAATATTGCCTCTATCTCTTAGGCTATGCTCTACTTAAGCTACTTCTCCTGGAGTAAAACTAAGATTTTTATATTCTTCTGCAAAGAAAAATTCCTTAACAAACTACAGTATTTTGTATAAGTCCTTTTCAGTATATGTCAGTGTTCCTTGTTCTTTTCCTCTCTCCTTTCCCCAAATACTTCACCTGAGATTTGAGATGTCTGCCATCTTGGCTTTGGTATGCTTACAGAAGAGATGTCGGGCAGTCTTGGCCTGGGCTTAGTGGTAGCCCAACTCCCCATCTTATGATCCTCCTTCCCCAGTTGAGGTGTGTGTTAGGAGTGTCAGCTTCAGTGTGCACGGGCATACTGGGCCCTTCCTGGCTGCCTTAGGCTTGCCGTGCATGCACTGAGCAGCCACCCTGTGCCTTCACAGTTATTCATGCTTTCCCTCAGAAACACTCAGTTTTGCTCTGCACGTACAATATGTTAATTCTGTGAGGTTCCTGTGGGCAGTGCAGAAGGGGATGAGAGGCCACTGTGGCTCAGCCCAGGCTGTTGCTGCCACCAGGACATTTTATATAGTCCACATTGTGCTGTTATACTGGGAAAGATAGGCTGCTGGATGGAGATGGGAAAGCTGTGGTAGCAGGCCGTGTACAGACTGCAGTTTGTGTAACCCATGTTAGTTCAAAGTTACTCAGCAGGCGCATCCATTCCAACACAAATGTCAGGCTGTTCAGAATTATCAACTTCAGCAGTCAGAGAAGTGCATTTTCCTGAGGTGTCTAATGACATTCTCAAACAAGCTGAGGAAAGATTATCCACTGGAGCTATGGAAAAAGTTTCAGTAATCTTTACTGTGTCCTAATATAGTTGGTAAGAGTTGTAGCATATTTAACTGGCAAGTTTAAATATTTAATACATATATATATATGTGTATATATATATATATAAATGCATGTGCACTTTATTTCTGTTAAGTCTGGCAACATGGCTTCAAACAAGTAACCTCCTATTTTCTAGCATACAGGATGCAGACACCTCCCCTCCCCACACACAGTTAACTTAAATGAGTCAGAGTAGTCACTTCTGTTTCTTGTCTGATTTAAGAGACGGATGTATACAATGGTGTTAGTAGAAAAATTTTAACTGGTGTGTTTAATTTTATCATTTTCATTTCTCAGGATGTGATCTTCATGGTGAGCTGGTGGGAAAACTGATCTGTAAATCACCCCAATGGATGCAGACAGTGATGTTGCATTGGACATTTTAATCACAAATGTAGTGTGTGTTTTTAGAACAAGATGTCATTTAAACTTGAGGAAGATCGCTTTAGAGGGAGCAAATGTGATATACAAGCGTGATGTTGGGGTAAGAGATTCAACATACCTCAGTTATCTGTTTATGCAGATGTTCCTTAAGCTAAACATTCTTGTGACTGATATCTCTATGGTGGATAGAGAAAAGCATAGTTTTATTTCTATATTTTTGTCTTGATAGACATTTAGTCTATGATACACTAAGCATACAGTATGGGAGAATGGTTAAATATTGTCTTGGAAGACTGCAACTAGTGAGGTGAATATTGGATATGAGGTATGTAGTGAGACCTCTTACACCTCAGGGTCCATTTTGCCTCTCCAAATGTGGTGGTTTTGTCAAGAAAATAAATCCTGATAAAGAGTTGTCGATATGGGAGTCACTGTAATAAGAAAAAAAATAGCACAATACTTGTGGCTCTCAGCTTTTTATTTAGAGGAAAATACCTTAATCTGTTTTGTAAACACTGAATCACTGGCTGAGACATTCCATGCTTATTTTGCTCTTCTCAGAAGCTGTTTAGTTTTTTTTTTACCTACTGGAAGAGATGAAGGAAAAGTTCAAGGCTATTAAGAATAAAGGAAATATTATCAGTGTAACAGTTGATTTTTCTAGCAGTTAATTTTTTTTCCCAATATGAAATTGAACCATCACTAATTACCAATTCTTCCACTTGTATTTTTCTTTCTAGAAAGTATTAATGAAACTTAGGAAACCTAGAATTACGGCCACAATTTGGTCCTCAGGAAAAGTTATTTGCACAGGAGCCACAAGGTGAGTTCATGAAGATTCTTTCTCTAGCTGTAAATTCTTGTGTATTTTAAAATGTAATGTTGTGAGGAAGATGGCAAGAGGCAGTACTTGCCACTGTCAAGATTCACTCATGCTGGATCACATGTAGATCCTTGCCAAACTATGTATTTGGGAGGAAGTTTTTTGTGAGGTGTCTGCCTCAGACGGAGCTGAAATCTTAAGCAACCTTAGTCTGGCCTTCTGGGAGAGCAGCAGGGAAAATTACTTTATGAAGAAAATCCTAGAGATTTAGAGAACTCCAAGAAGTCTATGGTTTTTGCCAGAACTTGAAACTTGGGAAGGGATGACCTTTGTTGAGGAATCTCTTATTCTGTCGCAAAACCCCACCTGAATTTAATGAAGTTATACAGTGTTGAGGGACTGGGAAGAAGCAAAAGCAGACTCCCAGTTCAGATACATCTGAGACTTGCTAAACTCTTAACAGCAGAATTCCTTTATGATACGACTGCATTGTGGATTAAAGATAAAGTACAACAGTAAACTTGCATACTTTCTGTATATGATCTCTGTCTCAAAATAGGAGATGGTTGTTCAGGATATTAACTCCAGACTACCTGTGATCATACTTGCCTCTTAAGAGTATTTAGTATCGTGTATCTTCCCTCTTCAATCAGAATACGTCTCCCACTTTAGCTGGAGCCAAGTGCCAAGATATTCTTCACATAGGGCATAAAGGACTCCATTTTCATATCTAAATAGTTAAAGTGTAACACGTACAAGTAGGATAAAATGAAAGCTGTCCATGCGCTACATGATGAAACGGTTCATTTTGTAGTCTGAGTAGCTATTGTGGTATGTGTGCACACAAATACATACACTATTTCTGTTAATGCTAGATTCTTTTCTTTCTCCTTATAGTGAAGAAGAAGCTAAATTTGGTGCCAGACGATTAGCTCGTAGTCTACAGAAGCTAGGTTTTCAGGTAATTCTGATGAAAAAGGACTTGTATGATTCAAGCAATGCTGGTAGTCCATTTTTTAGCAGGAAACAAAAATTAGGGAACATAACAATTTAGCAGTGAGCACGTTTCCACTCAGATGCCCCTTTTGTGTCAGCATACATTTTCCAGATGCTGGTTAAAGAGAAGCTGTTTTGTTTTGTGGATTTTAGTTGAAACTCACATTTGGAAGCTGAGTAGTGCTTCTTCACTGGCTAATGAACAACAACATTTGTTTAGTAAATGAACTACCCACAGATGTTTCTTGGATAGAATTTACAGTATCTTGAAAGATTTGGAAGGAGTGCTGAAGAGTATAAACCTAACTGTCATTTCAACATAATTTTGCTTTGTTTCTGATGGAATACAGATACATGTCCATCTTGTTAAGGGCAAGTTTGAGCCTCTCTTTAATTAAAGAGGGGGGGAAAATTGCTTCTGTGCTGTCAGGTTGCACAGCAGGAAGTAAGCCAAATAAAATACTTAAGACATTAAACCTTTTTTTTTTTTTTTTTTTTTTTTTTTTTCCCTTCTGGTTTGGGTTAACATTACCAGTCAAAAACACCACTTGCATTTCATAGTAAAGGTTGAAAAACAGCAATGTGAATGACTTAAAATGACACGTTTTAGTACTCTAAAACTTCCTGGTAGTTAGTTGTGCTGTTTACCCACAGTTTCAGTTTACGGACAGACAATTAAACAGACACAGTGGCTGTCCTTTGACAGGGAGAGGCTACCTTTGATTGTAGTACATAAAGGCAGTGGTAACAGGCTATCCTGGTAATGCTTCATCACGCTTAAGCAGAAGTTAAGCACTATTACTGTTAGAAATGTATACATTAGACCCAGCCTCTTAAAGTTGGAATGGAACATTAAATCAGTGAGGTGAACAGTGCTTCCAGGGTGGACACACCAAGTTTTATAATAAAAGTGAGCAGCTTAAGTAGAATGTATTTTGAAGGTTAAGTTGATAGTTGATGCTTTATAAGAATAAATTGCTTCTACTGGTAGTATCCTTCTAAAAAGTTTTGACTGAGGAACGGTCACTTTAAGTTTAGTCAATCTCAAAAAATGATCTAAAGTTTCTTCAGTGATATTGCCAACACTTGTCTCTCTTGGGAATTGTCTGTTGGCTATTTTATTGTCATCCAAAATGACTGTGGTAAAGAATAACTGAAAGCCAGTAGTTTGAGCTGAGTTTCAGAAATCACTGGAGTAGAAAAACAGCTTGCCATAGTGGCCACTGGAGATTTGAAACAAACCAAGTTTCACCTTTTTTCTTATTCTTAGCTTTGATAAAAATGGTATATAGCAACAAGGCATTAAAAAAGTTTCAAATGGTGTAAGATTTTTGTAACAATGAAATTTAAGCTTTTTCTCTGTTTATTTTGATGTTCCATGAGCTATTTTATTTCATTTATTTTCAATTTGGAGGTGTTTAATACAGCAATGAGAGTTGTTTCTGTATCTCATTCCTAAACTGTACTATAACCATATAATACAACTGTGAAGTATCCAGTTCAACAGCTACTGTACCACGGAAGGGTAAAATAAGAGATGTGAGTCCATTAAGTACTGTTTAGGTTCCTATTAGAAATACATCAGTCACAAGGTTTTCACTTTGAAATATCAAAATATTCTAATTGGTATTATTCTAACCTTTTTTTTTTTGTAACCCATAATCTGCCTTGCTGTAAGCTGAATTTCTAATGTCTTTTTTTTCCTCTCTTTTGAAAAGGTAATTTTCACAGATTTTAAAGTTGTGAATGTTTTAGCAGTGTGCAACATGCCCTTTGAGATCAGATTGCCAGAATTTACGAAGAATAACAGACCTCATGCGAGGTACGGTAGGATTTTAAAGAGTTATAGTCTTGGTATACAACTTAAGCTTTTATTTTTCAGTTCTAGATCTATCTTTTTTACCTTTTATTTTGTTTTCTAGTTATGAACCAGAACTTCATCCTGCCGTGTGTTACAGAATAAAAACTCTCAGAGCTACCTTACAGATTTTTTCCACAGGCAGTATCACAGTTACAGGTATTTTGATGTCAAAAATAAATATTTAACTTGTTGGGAATATTTAACTTTAGGGCCAGTAGGTTTAGGAAGGGAAGATGTTTAAAACAGTCAAAAGGTATGTTGAAGGGATTTTGTTTCTCAGTGCTAGCACCTAGTTTGTTTTTGAGTGAAAGTGACAGAAGAGTTGTAGAGAAAGTGTTATTATTGACAGGCTCAAAAATTATTTTGAATGTACATAGTCTGTTTTTTTGTAAAAACAAAAGTGAGATAGGACTTGAGAATGCAGGTGTTTATTTAAGTATTTTAATTGTTTTCCTTTTTTTTCATCTGCATAGTGCTGTAAACTACTCTGTATGTAGCATTAACATCCCTTTCATAAATACGTTTTTTCAAACTGGAGATTTATGGAAACGTGTAGGATAGTATAGTGTTTTGTCATAAGTGAAGTTGACCAATACTTGCGGTTCTTCAGACTTGTGCTCTCTTCTCATCAACCTCTACTGAGAGAGAACCGCCCCCTGAATCACAGGCATCAGTGATTTTTCCCATGTAATCAGAGATGCGATTGTCCCTGGGTCTTGCAGATGCCATGCCACGTTTTCTCCTCTCTCTTCCTAATTTCCATTTTTTATTCTCTGTTGTTAGCTTGTGAGGTGTCCACCACAGGTTTCCAGATATGAGAAGTTAATTTTTATTTTTTTAGAGAATACTTGTTAAAGTGGAACAGAGCCTAAAAACATCACTTTATCACTTCAGTGGGAATTCTGTCTTGCGGTTGTTAGAGCTCAGCTACTGGTTCAGAAGTTGGGTAGGAATTTTTATTTTCACATCTTAAAGCCTTATGTATTTGTTAAGGAATTACAGGGAATGTTTCTCACAAGATATCAGCAGAAATGTTTTTTTAAAGAGTACAAACGCCATCAGATTTGGTAATCTGAAAATATAGGCCTAAAAAATATTTCAAGATTGCAGTATATGTTCTGAACAGAGCAGCGGGTCTAGCCAAAACTAGAAACTAAATTTAAAATAAGGAAGAAGCTTGAGTATCACTGCAGTAATAAAAGGCTCTCAGAGTGTCGTGTTAGCCTCCTAGCGAGATTTCGACTTTATTTAAGATTCTTATTACCCCTTATACAGGACAAAATCACTTTCATACTTCCAGAATTGTCTTTTCAAATCTGAAGGCAAATATGGTAAACATCAAAGTTTTACTTCCTTCTGCTTTAATTGTTACAGTGAATTTGAAATATCTCAGACCTCTGTTGGTTTTGAAGACTTCTGTTTTGCCTAGGCCTTTCCTCTAGGGGAAAAAAATGTCCAGTCTTACACTTCTTGTTATAAAATTGTTTTAAATTACTTTTCAACCTTACTGTATTCCCTCTCGAGTGCATTCAGATAAGGTTCCTTTTAACCACTCATGTTTCTGTAGTACCTGTACTTGTCATGTCACTAACTCAAAGAATTTTGAGATACGTAATTAAAAATGTTATTAAAAAAAAAAGAAGTTTTTTTTTTAATGGGACAAGTATAAAAAGATTTAGAGTTACAGTGAGAAAAGAAAATAAGAACTGATATATAATAGGAAGAAGTATTAATTTCCTTCCTCCAAAATGAGCAATGAGGGGGTTGTTTGGAGGGTGGTTGTGTTGTTTTGGAAGTTTCTTCTCTTATACTCCCTACAGTGATGATCCAGTTTTCACATCTCTTCGACCCTACAGGGAGTAGCATTTTTTTACAGGAATTATTTGCCTACTCATAGCCTTGCTTTCTGAAGGCTTTCTCTAGAACTTGCATTTCTGTGATAGCAGACAAATTAAGTGAAAGTGCAGTATCTACCCAAGAGGCAGGTATCTTTTACCAGGCTTGTTTTAGGTGAGTGCTTAACTCAACTTGACAAGTTTGAAAATACAGGAGGAATTCTATTCCATTCCATTTCTCTTCTGTCTGAGTGTGTATATTAAAACAGTATTTCCATAATTAGTTAAAGAGATAAGTTATAACTTATGATTTTTGGGAACCATTTTGAACAGTCCTTTGAAGAAAATTTTGAAGTCTAAAGTGAGGTTAAAAAAACCCTGAGTTCACAGTTGTCAAAGCATGTGAGAGATTGCTGTTTTCATTTATCTGCATCACCAAACTTCTATCCAGGATGAATTTCTTCTGGCATGTTAGTGCTTGCTTACTTGCAGTCTTAATTGTTCATTATATAAAATGATCTAATACCACTAGAAAGCATTGCTAGTTCATTCTTCCTTTTTCTCCAGATGCTCATAGATCACATTCGATAACCTTCATATTCTTTATCCTGAGACAATAACCATTCCTTGGCTTGCAGGTTTTTACTGAGGTCAATGATGGAGCTATTTGCAAAATCCAGACTAGAAAGTAATAGTCTATAATTTTCAAACAAAAAATAACCTTGCTGAAACATACTTGGGTTAAATCTATCATTATTTTGCAGTAGTTTTTGTTGGTAGGTTTTTAAATGAAGAGATAAAAGAGTCTAGGCTTTTGAGTAATACAGATTCCTAGAAGATTAGCATAAGTATTTCTTCTAGCTCTGCCACTGAGCTTCTGGCTTCTTCTCTGGGCTGGCTGTTTAAGCCAGTAAGTTGAAAAGCACCCAAGTTGTTATGAAATTAAAAGACAGTATTACTTACTTGTAGTCTAGCCATTGACCAGTGTAGAACATCTTGCAGATGTCATGTGAGAGTCTTTTCTTGTAAGTAAAAGTGGTCAGAGGAATACCTTCTTAAGCAGGGAGAAATGGGGGAGAAACTTTTGTCTACAGTATAAAGTTGTGGTAGCTAAAAATACTAAGGTTATTTTAAAGATACTGTTATTTTAATTTGATTCCCTGATTTCTCTCTTCCTACTGCGCTTTTTTTTTTTTTTTTTTTTAATGTGTCTCAGGGCCAAACGTAAAGGCTGTTGCCAGTGCTGTGGAACAGATTTACCCATTCGTGTTTGAAAGCAGGAAATAAATTTTATAATTCACCACTTGATGGTTAGGTTCCCTAACCAAGCACCTTTAAAGACTGCTGCACATTGGACTAAAAGCAAAAAGGAAAACTGGACCAACAATAGCAGAAGAATACAGACTCTTTTACTTGCTCTTGGCCATAGTATAAACTCCAGTTCTTTTGGATTTTACTCTTAACAGTGCTGTATTGTAAAAACAGAAGTTTACAAGATATGAAATTGCTGCTTTTAAAAAGACATTCTATTTATTTTTGCAGTAATTTCTGTGTATTCATAAGCAAAGCTGTCACGATGTGCACTACCTTTGAAACATTATTTTTCTTTTTTTTTTAGTTTGAGCTTGTGTTTTATTTGTGAATAGTCTTTTACATTTTTGTATGCTGAATATTGGGCACCAAAGAAGCTGTAAAAGTTACCTTTTTCACCTGATGAATGTGCACAAATAAAAGTTTGGAAAATATTTCTCTTCATACCTGTTCTGTTATATTCCTTTCCCTTTTTCTATTACAGTTAAAATTGTATAGTTGCAAATTAATTTGAAACAATGTAAGAATAGTCTTTTGCTGATACCTTCTGTTTCTATTTGTAGTACGTGTAAAACTTTGTGCGTGGGTTAGATTGAAATCTATAGTAGTTACAGATGTTTATCTGAGGATGAAATTTGGTTTGTTCCCATTTCTCTTAACTACATGCCAGACTTCAAGTATTTTCTTGCTGTTACATGAAGAGAAGACATTTCTAAATGTAAAGGTCTACAGCAAGTGTTTTCCTGTAGATGATGAGGAAATCTTACCAACTAAAGAAGCTGCTGTAGAAAAACCACCTGCCTTGTCCAGCTGCTGGATGCAAAAGGAAAAGTTACTATGTGAGCTTCAGTTTTCAGGAATGTTGTTGTGCTTCAGCTCGAGAAGATGGTATGGTCACGCTAATCCAGCCCCAGCCTATTGCTGAATGATTAACACAGACCTTTTCTACACTCTTCTTACTGTATAATAGTTTCATGACAGGAGCTGCCAGCAAGCAATGAAGCTTAGTTCTGGCATGTGTTATTATTGGTATTAATCTTGGACTTGGAAGCCAGTAAATGTTTCTCTCAACAAGTGCACATTTGAAGCAGAAGAGAGGTGAATGCTTAAAAGTAACTGCAAATGCTACTTTTAAAAAGATACAATAAATATGTATAAATGTATGTATGTCTTTTTTCCCTGTCTTGCTGAAGAGAAATGTAACGCTACTTTTGTGTGCTGCAGGTAATATACAGTCTTAGTGGGTGCTAAAAATAGTAAATCCTGAGCTGTTACTGCGCCAGAAGTCACAGCTTCAAAAGAAAGGTAGAACATCCTGAAGAAGCAAAAATGTAGCATAATGTATTTAATCTGTCTGAGGGGATGGTACGAAAGTTGAGGCTGTCCATAATGACTTTATGCAGAAATTAGGGAAAGGAGGGAATAGTATGGGAAGTGCTCAACTAAACCCCTTGGGAAAGCAACACTTTGCCACAAGCCTTAGGCAATACATTCGTAAAAGCCCTTTTAAACTCAGTGTAAGTAGGAAAGAGAGGACTTGCCGCCATGAAGTTACCAAGTTGAGTTCAACAGTCACAGAATTCATAAAAAGAGCAGGGAAAGGGATACCTGTTCTATGCAAGCTTTCCAGTTTGTGTAGGAGAGAATGTGGACCTCAGTTCTCCTGACACTAATGACGATTTTGTGAACAGCCCTAGAGAGCAATGGACAAACCACCATTGAGGAACACCAGTGTGGTGGTGTTACAATTTTAAAAAGAAAAAGCAGAAGGTATTTGAACAATGAGCAAGATTGTAATTTTTTTTTACAGGAACAAAGTGTAGTCCTAAACTGATGGATGAGGATTTGGCCATTATAACTACCCTAGCTGTCTTTTGCAAAAGATTGCCTCTTTTTCTTTTGGGTCAAATTACAGAGTCTCTGAGTGCTACCAGTGAAATTCTGGAGCTTTTATGAAGCATCTGTGTCTGCTAAATTTATCTATGGAGGAAGAGGAATGTTTTGCCTTTTTGTTAGCACTGTCACATAGTATGAAATATGCTTGTTAGAACAAAAATGAAAAGTAATAATAAGCTGCAATGTATTAAAACAGAAACTGCTTCTTCTGAAGTGCTGCTTACATCCATGCTAGCTGTTTGAGGCCTTTGTAATAATCTGTAAGGGAGGCGAAGAGCATGCTACTAAACTTGCAGGGTAGTATTGAGAAAGAGTAATAGCAAATAAAAGATTCTTTGAAATGTGTGCTCACCTATCCTTCTAGCTCCAAGTAAGCTTCCAAGTGTTTATGACAAATACCCTTTAAAACCACTGATGATGATTTGGCAGTGTATGTGTGTATACTGGGGGGGATATCGCTCTATTTCCCATTGCTGCTCTAAATCAGTAGGTTCCCCCCCTCAGTCTGGACTGAGCCTTGCTGCTGCTACTGTTTATTTCTATGTGCATGCATGTACACCCCCCCTTCCCCATCCTCACGGGTTAGTCTTTGTTTCCTTTGCCATGCTGTGCAGTCTTCACTGAGGCTCTCGGCTCCTGCAGCCGTGGTGTGGACCCTAGGCCAGGCAGCGTGTCCCAGCTCTCGCCTCTGGTGTGAGGAGCGGTGCTTTGGATTGCATTTACCTGTCAGTCAGCTCTTCCTCATCAGCTGTCTTTTCCAGAGCACTGTTCAACCGTCCCTGGATTCTCCAGGTGAATCCCATGCAAAACTCTGCACTGTGCTCAGCTGTGGCAGTAGCAGTGCCGCAACAAGTTTTTATTTCACATTCCTTAGAGTGAAGGGTTGGTTCTATTTATACAACCTACTAAGGGCTCCTTTTTGCAGTAGAATGATAACTCTGACTCACCGCTAGCTTGTGAGTTGTCATAGCCACTAGATCTTTTCCTGCAGTTTCTAGCTCCATTTTATCATTCTCTGACTTGCAATTAGTGTTACCAGAGAAACTTGCACTTACATTTTCGGAATTGTATCCTGCTTTTTTCAGACCCTGCTCATGAATTTGTGAGGCTCAACCCAGTCTCTCCCAGTTTAGTATTGCCTGCAAATTTAATAAGCATATTCTGTTCTGTAATCCAGTCCATTAATGAAGATACTGAATAATTTTAGATCTGGAAGATTTTTTTGTGGAGTGCTTCAGATATCCAGGGATGTAATTTCTAAGACGTGTCCCTTAGTTCCCTTGTATTTTCATAGTTGATGGGGTTGTGACTGCCAGTTCTCCGTCATCAGATGTGCAGGCTTTGTTATAAAAGACCAGTACAATTAGGGTTACATTTATAGGGTTATATAGGGCTAAGTCTGTAGGACTACGCTTAAAACTACTATAATGTAATATTAGAATGATTTCAAAAGCCCTTGTCTACAGCATCATCACCTTTTGAAGGTATCTAAAGCTGTTAGGATCTCTGCAGTTATACCAGTGTTGAAACCATGCCTTCTTCAGAAAGATGGTATTTTTACTTATTTATTTCTGCACTAAGTAGATGTGCATGGGGAAAGTTTAGAAGAGCTCACAATGAACCCAAAATCTGTAAGGTGGGGAGACAATTTCTATGGTATTTTCTGAATTACATTTATTTTTTGTAAGAACACTCACAAAATTCACTAGAGCAGAGTTTTTTTGGGGCAAGCTGCAATGCTGAGAAAGATTTTGCAGAAGCCCCTTTCACTAGATGTGATATAATAGAAACTGTAAATTGGTATGGGCTTGGATTGCATGTGCAAAGGTCTGCTATCCAGAGGCAACCACAGCAAATGGGGACGCTCTTGGAAATGTGGGTAACTCACTGCCCAGTAAAGTCACAGGTCAGGAACAAGATTAATTTCCCACAATATAGTCTTACTAAAAATACTTTATATTACTTTATTTAATCTCAGGCACTTGTTATTATAAGAATAATGTTGATAAACTAACAGCATATTTGTAAGACTACCCAAAGTCTTAATATTTCTTCTTCTAGAGCTGATTCAATAGAATGCATGATCTTGATAACCACCCTCCAGCCTAAACATGAAGCAGGTGCAGAGATTTCGGTAGACATCAGTGCTAAAAAACTGAGGAAGGTACTAACATGCAGAAGTCCAGAAAATAGTGGGTTCAGACTCTGTTTTTTGACATGATAATTTCACAAGTGTTCAGAACTGAGTGGAATTTGTAAGTTTTATAAAAAGAAAAATATCACTGTTGATCTAAGAAAAAAGCTTTACAGTATTAGCAGGTCCAGCCTGCATCCCTTTGCTGGCACTTAAGTTCTTCTACATCTTTTGCTTTTCTTCAACAAATGCTTGCCAGGCTTCCAGGGTTGACCCATACTCATTAGGCAACACATGGCACTGACCATGCTTCCCATATTTATTCTTGCCATTTCAGTAACAGAAAGTGGTGTTTTCTCTAGCAAGAAGGCATTGATATTTTTCAAAACTGTTCTTTGCTTGAGATTACTGTCATTAAAAAAATTGAAATTCAGGCTTTGTGTCACAATGTGAGCTGATCCCAAAGTGCACAAATCAGGATGCTGAACAGAGCATTCCAAATTGAAAAAACCAACCAATTAAACCAACAAAACACCAAAACAAAACAACAACAAAACCAACCAAACAAACAAAGCAAAACCAATCAAAACAAAACAAAAACACAAAAACCTCACTAAATCTTTGGGGTTCTAGCCACGTTCTAGTTCTTGAATTCCGCACACCTGCAAGTTAATTGTGAAAATTTAAGGTAAAAATGCAACCACCTATGCATGAAACATCTACACTTAAAAACGTCATCTGCCCTTTCCCCCCACTGCCAGAGTCAATCTTTGACTTCTCCTCCCCTTGTATTTCATGTGCCCTCCTCATCCATGGCTTCTCTCCCACCCAAACCCAGCTCTCCAGCTCTCCCCGTTTCAGACTGCTGTGGAATTTTTATGTGGCTGAGCTCTAATGCATTTTACATCCTTTTTCAGACTATTTGTAGAAGACAGGAATACTGTTACCTTTGCCAACTCCTGCTGCTGCAGCATGGAGTAAATGTTACTGCTGAGGGCAGGAAAATGCAAGGAGGCTCTTTGCTCTGGGCTCTCCCATGCAGGGGCAAAGGGACCCCTTCTAGCCTCTTGTGGTTGGTACTGGAACTGCAGACCTTCAAGATTCTGAGCAGGTTTTCAATTTTTATGGGAAAATTCAAAGTGATAGAAGCCAAAGTTTCCCATGTTTGTGGAAAAGGTGGAAGCACATGAGATCCAGGGTGGAATTTTAGCCTGGAATGGGCACCTGCCGATTCCCCGTAGGGAATGAGAGCAAAAGGCCTTTTTGCTTACTGCTTCTGATGGAGCCTTTGATCTGAGTCACCTACGTCTCGGGTGTGCAGCCCCACTGTCTGAAAGGCCATGGAGGACTGTCTCCTGTGAGAGGGGAACCACGCTGGAGCAGGAGAAGAATGCGAGGAGTCTTCCCCCTGAGGAGGAAGAAGCGGTGGGAGTGACTGCACCCCCCATTCCGTGCCCCCTGTGCCGCTGGGAGGGAATGGGGGAGCGAGCAGCTGCATGGTGCTCAGTTGCCCTCTGGGCTCAAACCACGACAGTGAGTTTGGTCTCTCGCTGCTTATAGACTATATCAAAAGGGCTCACATGGACCCTTATAAGGAGATTTTACTTTATCTTTGCTACACTTTGTATGCCAAAAACTGCATCTTGCCAAGCCTTATACATATGACCATAGGCACCCCTGAAAGCAGCTCACTCTCATGGCACCCATGAGGTTATTGGAAGGACTGCTGGCTCTGGGATCAGGACAGAAGAAATAAGGTGGCCATAAACTGACCAGCTAGCCAGTGGCCTCACAATTCAGAGTTTGGATTGGTTTAGATGACAGGGGATCTGCGTAATTAAAACTCCTGTGTTGTCATAACTATTTACCTGACCTTCGTACCAAAAGCCCGACAGGGTTTTGATATTGGTTCCCTTAAAGCTTACGATGCAGGAAAGTTCTGGTACAGATTTGGCCAGCAGGTTCCCATCCCGAGGTAGCTAAATTTCCCATGACTTCTGGCAAATCATGATCTTGGCTTCAATAGTTTCTTTTCAGGTTTTGAACACACTGTCTGAACAGACATGCTTTTACAAATTTACAGTGTCAGTATCTAGAAGTGTGACCATGTGAGAATCTGATCAGAACTGATCTGCTCTGCTCAGAAGCAAAACTTTACCTAGATCATTAAGTCACTGTTCCCTCAGTGCAGGACACAGTCAGGTGGTTTTAATGCTGTGAGACAGCAAATAAATTGGGATCATGTGCTTAGTTCAAAGTACTCCAGCTGACAGTGTCAGTCTTGCTTCCTCAACTAAATGCTGGAAGAAATGCTGCTGTATGGCTGCTGAGACAGCAAGCATGCTTTTAAAGCATGTTTTTTTTTTTTTCTTTAAACAAAGAACCATTTATTTATCTGCTAATAAATATTTATCTACTGATCATTCCAACAAAATCTGTTAACCTTCTAAGAAAAAAAAGACCTACGTTCTTTTGTGAAAGCCATATATATAGCCTTTTGTAGAGGCTTGTTGAGTACTTCAGGATAAACTTGCTAAGCAATAACCAAGAATTTGACGTCATTTATGATTTGCAGTGATTGCAGTTTCTGAACTCCCTTTGTGCTGCCCTATACCACACAGTTCTCACTTTCTGAATCCAAAAGTCAAAGTCTAGTGTGCCCTGTGTTGAGAAATAAAATTATTTTGGCATCAACTCTGGTACCTCCAGCTCTCAACTTTGCTGGGACTGGGAAACCAAAGAAATCTTATTTCCTCTTCTGTGAGGTCACCCTCAACCTAGAGTAATTGATTATGCAAATGTCTCCCCCCTCCCCAAACTATTTGACAGTATTTTCTTAGGAGCTTTTCCTAGGTCACTGAATTCTGGCCCTCCCAGGAAACTGTATGTAAAGTTCCTCTTATAAGCTGAGCATGCTCTGTGTTATAAATAATTTAGTTCTGATGAACGAGATCCTTCCTTGGGTCTTGTTAAGCTGAAGCCTAAATTAATTCATAAACAGTTCATACCCAGTTGTTCGGCACTGACATCATCGTTCACACTCCGTAGCTGTCCATTTTTACTCCCTAGTGTTGTCGTCCCTAACTTACTGGCAGAGAGTTGTTAACCCTTTTCAGCCCCTTTTTTGCTAGGCTAAACAGACCTATCTTTGGTGGACGTCTCCTGTGAGACTCTTCCTTCTCCTTTGCACCCCAGTCGTTCTTTGCACCTCTTCCAGCCCGAACGCTTGTTGAATATGGATAACTAGAACTGTGCACAATATTCCAATTTCCATTCACCTCCTGTCTGTAAGAGGTGAGTAACCTCAGGGGAGGTGAGGGATGGTGGTTTGAAACAGACAGAGCCTAGATTTCCAGTAAGTTATAAACTACAACAATCTTTAATGCTGGCTGTAAACTGCCACTGAAAGAAGTTCTAATAAGAAATGAAAGAGAGAATATCTTGTGTATAATAAAGATGCAATGTGTCCCATCAGTGTGTGAGCATCACTGAACTTTTTTACTTTTTTTTTTTTTTTTTAAATCAGACTTTTGGTGAAGGCTGCTTTGACTGCCCCGGGTCTAGTAGAGCTGCTCTTTCTCTCGCTTGGCAAGTTCCACCGGCACCAGTTTCTCCCTGCGCTGGCTCACCCAGCACAGGGGGGTCTTCACGTATTTCCTGGAGAGGCAGAAAGAAAAAAAAAAAAAAAAATAAAAAAAACCCAACAAAACAAAACAAAAAAAAAAAAAAAAAAAAAAAAAACAAACAAAAAAACAAACAAAACCACGAAGGTTTGCCACAGAACACAGCTGCCAGAGCTCCCTCCCCGCTACAGCCGCTGCCGCTGGGGGCACGGCTGCCCCCCGGGCCGGCTGAGTGCACCCCCGCTAAACCACCCAACACCCCGGGGGTGCCCCGGCGGCCCGCGGCGCTTCCCCGCCGGCCCGCGGGGGGGCGCCCCCGCCGCACGCTCCGACCGGGGCTCCCCCCCCCCCCCCTCCCCACGCAGCCCTGGCTACGGCTCACCCCCCGGTTCCAGTTTCCCCATCCCCAGCTCCGGCTCCCCCCTCCGACGCATCCCCAGCTCCGGCTCCCCCCATAGTCCAGCTCCTCCCCGCCCCCCCCATCCCCGGGTCCTGTTCCCCCCTCGCCAGATCCCCGGCTCCGGCTCCTCCCCACCCCGGCTCCGGTTCCCGCGTGGATTTATGTCTTTAAAGAGGCGGGAGGCGGGGGCAGCTCGGTCTGGACCGAACCCGCCGGTATCTCAGTCCGCGAAGCAGCGACCGCTGCGAGGGAGAGCCCGGGGGCTCCGGCAGCACGGTTAGCTCCGGGCTTTCTGCACTGGAATAATTGCTCTTAATTAGCCCATAAGCAATCTCCTTCAAGCCTGGATCAGTTGCAGCGTACCCTTTAGACAAAAATATTCTCTGGTAATACGGGATGACCCGTTGCACTGGGCTGTTCACACGTTAATTACTTCCGCTGCCAAAAAGTAGGTGTCTTATTTTCAGTCGGAATATTTCTACCTGTGCCTTCAAGCCTCTTCCTCCGGGTGCCATTTGCCTTGCCGGCAGCCCACAGGGAGAGACTGAAGGAGTCTGCCTCGCTCTGCCAAACCGGGGCTTGCGGATTAACTGGGGGTGCTGCCTCCCTGGAGCAGCTTGCACCAGCCGGGCTGAGGCCTGACTCTCACCCCAAGATCATCAGCCCTACAAGAATTCTGTCTGCTATATCGTTTCCCCTATAATTTTTTTTATCCTTTTATTCATTATGCTGATAACTTCTGAGATTAGTCCAAAAAAGCAAGTAGCTGCTGCAGAGCAGCTCTGAGCAGATCAGGAGAGTGCTGCATTTGAAAAAACAGGGCTGTTTAGTTTTTCCTATAATTTTCTATGACCTAAAACAACTGAAAAGAATGGGGCCAGTATCAAATTGATGGTGAAAATTGCCAGTTGATTTATGGTCAATGACACCTGCCTTTGGAGCCTGTAAGTAAACAGCATGTGTATCAACAGACTTTTTAATTCTGTTCTCCAAATTGATGTCCTACTTTTGTTGAACATACGTAATTTCAAGGGCCACTCTACCTCTGAGGGGTGAGAAAAGACAGGTAGAGTCAAAAGACACAAAACCAGTCAGAATGAAAGGAGCAGACACATGGCATTCACATCACCAACACTCTCTCTCCCTCTCATTGCTCTTCTACCCTCTTTACGTGGTGAGGTGGGGACACAAAACTCATGCTGGAAGAGCCTTTTCAGGGTATGAGCTCATAGAGTCTACAGAGGCACAGCACCAAAAAATGCCCATCTAGAGGAGCTATCAAAACTCACACGAAGCCCTGAAGTATTTGAGATAGGGGCTCTCTCTTTCCCTTTTTCTGCATGGAAGCCAAGACACACAGCTCTAAATGTGAGAATACATTTGCCCACCCCTCCAGGCACACGAGGCAGCAAAAGTGCTGGGGAGCCAGGCCTGGCTCCAGGCGTTCCTCACAGCAGTGCTGGAAACCAGCGTTCCTTTAGGGCCAGTCCTTCAGCACCAACAAAATGTTTGCTTGGCCACTGAGATCAACATGGACAAGCTCAAGCTTTGAGAGAATCTGATTTTTCCAGAAAAAAAAAAGCAGCATGGTTTCCTCTTTTTTTAGCATGCGACATTGAAAGGCTTTGTCCTGTGCGATGTGGTCATAGCCTTGCTCAGTACTTACTGTTTAGCTAGTTCCATGGATATTTGCTCCAAAGAGCATCCTTTCGTCTCTGGTATAAACACAATAACAAAAGCCAGGGCTGCTAGGCTCATTATTGTGTAAATGAAGCACACCCAGGACAAACCAATGAGCTCTACAAAGGAAAAAAAACATGTCTTTTAATTTTCAAATATTTTTTTTTTTTTCCTGTGGCTGCATTTTTCTAGGATACGTCCCCTATTGCACAGGAGATGTTAGAAAGAAGCTAAACTGTTATTCTTGGCTCATTTATTTATGCATGGCCATAATTTGAAAAAGAAGAGAGATTTTGCTTTTTCTGATACTCCTTATGAAAGAAAATTGATGAGCCCATACAGACGCATTTATCATGAGCCTACTGATTTACTATGTTTGTGGTCACTCTGGATGAAAACAGGGAGTAGCCACTGTTACTGGTTTGTGCATAGGCACCAGGGGTCACAAGTGCCTTGAATTTCCACCCATGCCTGGTTTTGTTGCATATTCTTTCATGGAGCAAAACCAAACATTTTTCACACTATTGCAGTTGTCTCCAGCTGATCCTCCCCACTTGCCAATTCCCAGCATTTACACTGCAGGTCATGGGTTCTGTGTCAGAAAGGGATCTAAGAGTGAACTCCTATTGGGGCCAGACAAGAATCACAGGATGGTTTGGGTTGTAAGGGACCTTAAAGACCATATATTTCCAACCCCCTTGCCAAGGGCAGGGACACCTTCCACTAGATCAGGTTACTCAAAGCCCCGTCCAACCTGGCCTTGAACCCTTCCAGGGAGGGGGCAGCCACAGCTGCTCTGGGCAACCTGCCCCAGTGTCTCACCACCCTCACAGAAAAGAATTTCTTCCGTATATCTAATCTAAATCTATCCACTGTCAGTTTAAAACCATTACCCCTCATCCTATCACTACACTCCCTGATAAAGAGTCCATCTTCATCTTTCCTGTAGCCCCCTTTATGTACTGGAAGGCCGCTGTAAGGTCTCCCCAGAGCCTCCTCTTCTCCAGGCTGAACAACCCCAACTCTCTCAGCCTGGCCTCATACGGGAGGTGCTCCAGCCCCCTGATCATCTTCCTGGCCTCCTCTGGGCTCTCTCCAACACTAGTGGTTTTCTGAGCCTACAGTCCAGGGGCAGGTAGGTCCCCAGGCTGACATGCACTCTGCAGCCCCTGGAAAATAAAACACCTACAAACCCAACAGGATGATGCAGCCCCCTTAGCCCTTTTCCCTGCTAAAACTAAGCCAAACAGTTGAGACGTTTACCAGTTGTGTCATGATCTAAAAATTGAAGCTGAAGCTGCTAATCCAGCTGGTATCTTCTGCATCAGACACCAAAGTGTAGGGGCTGCTGTCCACTGTGACTTCCACATGCATTCATGTGGAGTCAGAACTTCCAGTTCTGCCTTTTTGCCATAGACTAGGAACGCACATTTGCTTGTAGTTACACTTCCATAAATCCAGATTAGATCCAGCTAAACCAACAGAATAACTGCAGCTTTACGTACATTGATGAGACAAGAATAATGACTAGGTGTGCATTAACAAGTAATGCTGCCTGATAGGAGGGGACATTCAGGTGAAACAGTTGGTGCTGAGGACCTGAGATCTGCACTATTTATTTCTGGGGACATTTCCTTAGGAATAGCTCTAGTCTGGTCCAAGGACTGAGCAAATGTTGTCAGCTGGAGTGAGTTCACTGTGCATTTTCTAGTTTGGTGTTGTCCAAAAGCTTGTGTAGGTCAGGAGCACAGTTCTGCGTGAGTGGGTACAACTTGATGATATGCTTCTGAAGAAGACCCTTGATCTAACTAACGATCTAGTGTGGACACAATGAGTTTGACCTGCCATATATTTCCTAGTTTTAATCAAGATAATACTCAGGTGGTTTTCTCTCTCTCTATTTTTTTTTTTTTTAATAAAGAAAAGAAAACACCAGTGTGAAACCCATTTTAGACACAGATCACATTCATTTTACAATCTGTCTCAAAATGCATCTAACAAGATTAAAACCACCTCGACTTTTTGTGGTTGATTGCCTGCCTCCATTGGAGAGTAATGTAAAGTTAAAGGAAACTTAGAATTTCTGTTCCCTTATATATTTTGATTTTCAGCACATATTTTCCTCAGAATAAGACTGCAAACTAAAATTTGCAAAACTTCTTATGAAATTAAATTAGGAAAAAGCATTGGCCAATGCATGAATTTCAACATCAGCATTTAACATTTTCTGTTGTTTATCATCACATTGTAAGTTACTATATGGTAGTCTACTTTCTCACATTAAAACCTGAAACATTTTTGCCTTACAAAGACATCTTTTTCTAAAGGTAGTTTTCTCAAAGCTAAGATATTCCTGTGAAAAGGAATGACTTTGATGGGATTGTCTTTAAAATGTTTGATCAGAAAAGCTGTGGTCTGATCTAGAGCAGAACTTCCATTGACTTCAGAAGATGTGGGACTAAATACTAAATATTATGTATTTTCAACCACCTAAGACAATGGCGTTTTTAAGAACTAAGGTTCACAGCCTATGGAGTTGATGTGCAAGGTGCTCTGATGTCCAGCATCATGAGGCTGTAATTACTAGAACAAACTTAGAAAGATACAGTGGAAACAGGGAAGTTACACTAACAAACAACACCTAAAAAGACATCTGAATTTGGCTCCTGGAGCATCACGGCTACAATTTTATCAATATTGTTTGTATAGGAAAGATATATTTTGCCCAATAGAAGAAGAAGAATATCAACATGGAAGGACACAGAAATCTTACCAGTTACAGTCAAAAATGTCAAGGAGATGAGGAGATTTATACCCCAGTTCATGCTAGATGTCAAAGCCATGGCCCGTCCTCTGATCCCGCCAGGGAAAATTTCACTCAGGACCAGCCAGGACACTGAAATAGAAGAAGGAAAAAAAAAAAAAAAAAAAAAAAAAAAAAAAAGTTGTCTTCAAAAGGATGGCTTTCCATGCTGTAAATTTAGGTAGTCCATGAATTCAGGTGAGGCCACCTGAAAGAATAAAGTGATTTTCAGAGTTGTTAGGTTTGTGCAGGCCCAAACCCCAGAGGACCATCTGCACTCTGCAAGCAGCGTTGGCAGCAATCAGCACCACCCCGGGCATCCTCACTGCCCAGCGCCCGAGCGAGGGACCGGTGGCCCCAGTGGCCCCAGTGGGACTGGGGCAGCACCAGCACACATGGAACCAAGCGGGGAAGTGAGCTCTGACTGCACGTCTGTGTATGAAAGGAGCTCTGACTAAGTAACTCTCAAGTGACATAACACTAATAGAAGTGGGGCAGCAAACCAAAGTAATGCTCAGCCTCAGAGTGGCACTGTGTGTTTATGCCACCTTATAAATCAACATGCCACACTGATGCAGGTTTGCTATTCCAGCTCTCCACTCCACATAAGCAAGATTGCTGAGGTAATAATGAAGAGAGAGGGCCTGGTTTTTGGCGCCCTCATATCACACCACACCACAGGGGAACTAAACGCTGGTGTTGCTAGCCCACAAAAACAAATTCAAACATGAAGAGCTGTCTGTGTAACCACCTTGATAGCAAGAGATAAAAAAAAAAAAAAAAGACACCACATTTCTGTCTGTACTATTCCTGGTTATCAGAAAAACAAAAAACAAAACATAAAGAAAACCCTTCACCCTCCTTTTGTTCATAAGCAAGATGCATTAGCAAGAGGTTGCTGTGTGGAGAGGTTGTGGGATAGCAGACAACCAGCACACAAGCAGAGGGGTATACGTGGGTGGACTATGTCTTCAGATGTTTGGATATGGCCATTATAAATCACTCCTCTGTGATGTTGTTTCTGCAAAATGACAAATGAGAGTTTCCTCTCATTAACTTGCACTGGGCAGTCTTAAAGTTACATTTTAAAAATAGGCTCCTGGACGTGTTAGTGTGTGTCATGCTGCAATATCCCTTTGGATGCTTCTAGGATTCCTCTGTGACAGTACGGGTAAAGGTAGAAAAGAAAAAAGTGTTGTGGAAGGAGAATAGAAAGGACCAACTGAAAGGGGAGAGAAAAACCCTGAGCCTTGAGTCAACAGAGAAGATTCGAGCAAACTCTAGATTTATTTGTAACACAGATTTGAATTCAATAATGTTTTCTGGAGCTGGACCAGATATTTTTTTTTTGTAAGGAAAAATATAAAGAGCTTCAGTCCCACAGTGGAAGTGACTTGGCAGAGGGGTGGTTTTATTCTGGAGAATCAAGACCACACTGCATAACAACCTAACACTGTTGCACATAGTCAAGTGGCACACAGTCATAACACAGCCGCCATGCCTAACAGCAGCTGTAGAGGCTTTTTTCTTATTTCTCTGGCTTGGATCACAGCAAAGTTTAATACATTTGCTGCTGGCAAGACAAACATAGCTGGGAAAATAATTATACCCCAAGACTGGCACAGGGGATATTCATAGTCATGTTAAACAGGTGTGAATTCTTTCAAACCTGCTTTTTTGATGGGCATAAATCAACCTCCAGGAATAAACTTTTTCTGTGGGTACTTTGGTCTGTATTTGCTTCTTCTAGAATCTTCTTGTGTTCAGACAACTTGCAGTGGCTGCTCAGAGAAGCACTGAGCGAGGAGGATCGAGTCCCATGCGCTGACATGGCAGCCCCACCAGGCTGGGCCAGCCCTGAGCTAGATGCATTGATAGATACCATGCATTTTTCCAGGGACAGACTGGCCCTTTCAGGCTACCTAAAGTTTCTCTGAAGGTTTGAAACGTCTTGTTTTCCTGTTAAGAAACAAAAATACTCGAGGATCTGCATCAGCCACGACAGTGGTTAGCTGCTCTTATTTCAACCGGTTATTTAGTTCAGGCAGATCCCACCAACACACCAGATCTGTTTGTCATGTGTGCTAATAGTAGCTGCTTCCTCTGGCATGGCCCTGACCTCTGCTTAGCTGGAGAGGAGTGGATAGTCTTATTCCCCACTGAGAAAGAGCAGTTGTAGAAAGCTGACACTTATTACAGTCTGTTTATCCCTTTCCCCAAGCTGAGGCAGTGATAACGATCGATTCTTTGCTTTTAGCACCTCTCTGGGATTGTTTTTACTATTTGTACCTTTGCCAAAAAGCAGCAGCTGTTGTAGGTACTGAAGGGACATGGCTTTCTCTTGAGGAGCCAGTAACTAGGTTCAGGCTCCCATTCGTAATAACTGCTGCGACCTTGTGCGCTGTGTGCACGCAGCGCTGCAGAAATTTAACCTGCACGCTCCCAAAGTCACTGCAGAGTCAACTATGTGCTCAGTCTTCACCAGCCTAATCAGGGGCATTTTACAGGGGAAATCAGCCTATCCGTGAAAAGAGGATCCATATAACCCCCTCTTCCCCTCTCCATCTGCTGTGTCATCTAACATTATTTCAAAATAATGTTCTGATAGCTTTCAGTGTCTGCTCCAGCCACCCTTGGCTGGTGTTCATGGAACAGATGGGAAAAGAGCTGGAGCTCTGCAGGTCAGATGTGGGTAAGAGATGAGGCGAAGGGCTCGGCACGAGTCTCTGTGCTAGATTCAACAACTGAGGGATTTGTTCATGCAGGGGCTGCAGGTAATAACTCGCCTTTGCTGACCTGCAGTGCCTTATATGCTGACAGCAGTTAAGAAAAATTGTACAGTTGAATGGCCTTTTGTTATGGTGCAATCTAGAGAAAAGAACACCCATTTCAAATGCAGGAAAAAATAATGCATTGGATGAGGAAGCTTAACTGTTTCATTAAATATCACAGAAACTCAGTGCTCTGACATTCCTTGCCCAAGTACGAAGAGCAGAGAATTCAGGTATACAAACAACCCCTTGACCAGGATGGTGACATTCACCTCTAAACAAAGTCACAGGAGCTGTAAAGACAGAAAACAGAATAATAATGGAAGTTTTCAGCTGCTCCCACTAAGGCTGAATAAATTGCATAATGGAGCACAGTTCTGGGACTCCATTTTAGATACCATAGATGATGGTTTCTTTTAGCACTTTGCCTGATACTTAATGAGAGGAAAAAAAGCAAATCTTGCTTCAGTGCTGAGCAGGGGTAGTTCAAGATGTAACTGTCACAAAGATGCTCTGTTATACTGGCTATAGCATTTCAAATTCAATATTCTTGTAGAAATGGAAGAGCCAAGAGCCTACCGCATTTCATTTCAAAAGGAGAACAATATTAGAATAAGCCTTCTTTCTATAAAGAAATTAAAAGGACAGTAAGGGTAAATGCTTCAGTGTTATGAAGAATGTTTAAACTACCTGATTAGAGGCTTAAAATACATATACAGCCAAATAAAATAAAAATAAATAGTTCAGCACAGATGAACAACTGAATGAAGAAAGCTGCTAGAAATAGAAATATGCCTTCTGTAAACCTGTATGCTCTGTCCAAACAAAGAAAACACAGTATAATTGCTGAAAAGCTACTCACAATACCATCATCAGGCAGCCCAGTATTTTAAGAGTCTTCTGGCTGAGAAGACAAGAGGCCAGGGATGGAGGAGGTGACACATGCCAACGTTGAAGAAAATGTTCCATGGGGTTGCAGGAAGGGGTCACCCTGGTAAACTGCTGTCTGGAACTAGGGTAAAGCTAAACAATCTCAGCTGGAAGAAGGAAAGGAGGATAACTACAGTGTCTTGAGGAAAAGTTGTGTAGTTTTTGCTGAGGAAAGCCATGTCTCTTTGAAAGAGTGAACGAACATGGGGATTGAAACGAATGAGCTACTGTGCTTTTCAGTTTCAAAGAGCTTTGGTGAAGTGTCATGGGGTAGAAGAGAAGGTATTCATATAGATCAATAACTGTTTATAATTGGAAACAAAAATCAGGGTCTGTTTTCACAGTGGAAGGTGATTACTAGATCTGCTCAGTATACTTCCAGATCTCTCAGGAAAGGGAGGTGAACGGATGTGCAAAACTTACTGATGATACAAAATTATTCAAGGTAGTAAAAATGAAGAAGGATCATAAAGAATTGCAAAAGGATCTCTTTTGAAGTACTTTGAGTACTTTGAAAAAATGACCCATAAAATTCCTTATCAACACATGCAAAGTAACAGGGAGGGAGAAAACCAGCCACCAGCACCCACACCAGCATGCCAGCACTGCTCAGGGCAGAAGTGCTGGAGCCACCCTGGGCAGTTCAGGGACAGCATCAGCTCCCACGAGGCAGAGGTAGTGGATGCAAACAGAGGCTTGGCAATTATTAGGAAGGAAACACTGAATGTGCCACTGAGCATGTTGTTGTGCCTCGGCATTTGCCATGTTCCATGCAGGCTTGCTCAACTCAGAACTACGTGAGCCATGGAGAAAGGTGTGTAATGGGCTCTGCAAAGAACAAATAAACAGACGAGGACTCCAGCTCAGAGCTGAAGTGGAGATGAACAGATAAGAGGTTTTCTTTACATTTTTAAAGACACAAACCAAAACAACCCAAGTGAAATTACCAGAGACAGCAGTTAGGCAAGGCGAGAGGATGTGCTTTTTCAGACAATGTGTATTTCAGCTGTGGAAGTCACTTTCATAAGATGCTTCAGATGTGAAAAGTATTAGTGGGTTAAAATGATTAAATGCTGGGTGTTAAAACATTATTTCTCTGTATGTGTGGAAAAAGATCCATCAAGAACTATTGTGCACCATAGTACAAATAAATCCCCAACATTTTTCTTGAAGTTCCCTAAACTACAGATAGGCAGAAGGACACACTGTGCATGCTGCATGGGCCTTTTCTTATGTTTTTTTCCCTCAGCCTCTGCTACTGGCTATTGTTGGAGGCAGGGTAACAGATTGATCGAGTGGCCGTTTTGTTTGAAGCCACCTGGCCAACTTAATGAGCTTTATATTTGGGCCATAAGCAAAGAGATGTCTCAAACCCTCGTGTGATTACTTTCT